GAATTGGATCAAGGGAATTGCTATCCATACACAGCCTCTACTTCTGCTCACATGGCCGAAACCTTAGCCATCATTGTAGTTGTGGCTTGGGCTATCAGAGAAGGATGGAGGGATGTCCACATATACTAAGATTGTTAGAGAGTTGTCACTGGAATTACTAACTCTTCCACTTGCACTGATGAAATGGAAAATTACTATTTAATGTGCAGGGACCTGATCACCACCGCGGGAAGGGTAAAAATTTCCAAGGTCAGCAGAGCAGCAGTTAGGGAAACAGATTCGGTGGCCAGGAAAGCCATGTTGGCTCTACTTCAAACTTCTAGTTCCTTAAGAAGTAAAGCTCCATTCTGGAGCATTTTATATCTATTGTTATTAAGATAATATCGAGTATTAAGATAATATTAGGATATATATTTTAGGGATAAACTTGTATTCCTAGATAATCTTTATTTACCTAGAGTTTGATATTGTTTAGGAATTCTGCATTGTATTATATAAGGCCTTTAATGGCGATTAATGAAAGTAACTGGGCTTTATTGAGCAATATAAATTTCTACAATTGTACATCCTCAGGCTCATCCTTCAACTTGTAATAGCTTTGAATATGCTTTTGGTGTTAGCCTATCAAACTTGTCTAATCAGCTAACTATTAGGGGCAGCAGCCCATCTATTCAGCAACCCCCTTGATGTTGTTGGGGTCTTCGGTATTGGCTACGACCTATAACTCTATTATCACTCTTTATGTTATTCTAATCTAATCTAAGTTCAATTTCTACCTCCCAGGGAAAAAAAAATAAAAAATTACAAAATGTTTTTGGGACCCACCTTGTACCCAACAAAAAGAGGTTGGTTCCTTAATCAATCATAAAAATAAAAATAAAAAAATGTCGTGGTGAGTAAAGTAGCCGACGATGTCAAATATTGACTTATAAAGTTATACTTTGTATTTTCGTAATTACTTAAACACTAAATAGGAGCAATGCTAATTAGCATCATCTTAATCCCACACTATCACATAATCACATTACCAATATGATGATATTTCCATTAATATTTATCACCTTCCTACGCCTCAAACATGTTTTATCAACCTCTAAATCTCTAATAACTTCTTTTTCTTTAAAGACATGGCCTGAACAATCGATAGTAATGGGAAAAACAACCTTCATAATCTCTTAGGGACCTTAACATCCTATGCTGGGTTTCATAATTTTACTACCATTTTCCCTGGAAGTCCCAATCAGTTACACGGCCTTTACCTTTGTCGAGGTGATGTCGTCGATCCTCAAGCTTGTTATAGTTGTATCAATTTTGCTAAAAACTACTTCGTATATCTTCGAAAGCTCCTTTTGTGGAAAAGAGGGCTTAGTTTGGTATGATTGTTGTATGCTAAAATACTCAAATGAGTCCTTTCTTGGCAAGTTGGATACAAAATGGCGGACTGTCTCATGGGCCGATCGTAAGATAAAGGGTAGTCGTCGTGTTCATTTCATGAAAACTTTAAGGAATACGATGAAGGCCTTGGCCATCCAAGCGTCGAATGGTAGTGTATATGGAAATAAGTTTGCTTCAACAGAAATGAAGTATACAAGGTTTGATTCTCTTTACGCGATGGTCCAGTGTACGCCAGACGTACTCTTGTTGGCTAGCTTAAGACCTTAAGTGGAGTGGTTATATACCTTAGTTGTATGGCTCAATATAAGACTACTCCCGCATTTAGTAACAAATATTTCACAAGTGAAGAGGTTGATTTGGCACCAATTTCACTCACAGGTAAATTCAAATACTGAAATTTATTAGATGATCAGATTAACTAGTAATCTTATTTTTACTTAGATTTGATTTGATTCGGACTAGCTATGATACTTCTACCTTTTTGATATTATTTACTTTCTTGATGATGTGTTGGATGTGTACGCTCTTCTTAGATTATATTTCTTGGTCTCATGTACAGCGAGAGGGTAATTTTGTAGCCCATCACTTAGCTTGTTTAATGCGATTTAGAACAAATGTGGTCTAATTGTTGTCCTAGTTATACTTCCTATGTACTAATCACTACAAAAAAATGTTCATATAGAAACGGAATTCTAGCGACGGAATTCAATCCGTTTCTAAATTAGAGACGGAATTAAAAAATCCGTCTCTAAATTAAATTAGAAATGGAATTGAAAATCCGTCTCTAAATTAGAAACGGATTTTTTTTCCGTTGTTAAATTTAGAGACAGATTTTTTTTTTCCGTTACTAAATTAGAGATGAATTTTTTTTTTTCGTAGCCGATATGAGCGGCGAATTTTTAATTCCGTCTCTAAATTATTTTCGAAACGAATTATGTAAACTAAAATCCGTCTCTAAACTAGAAACGGATTTTCAAATCCGTCTCTAAACTAGAGACGGAATAGAAAATCCGTCTCTGAACTAGAGACGGATTTGAAATCCGACTTTGAGCTAGAGACGGATTTTAAATTCCGTCTCTAATATTTCTTTCACTTATTATCAATTATGTGCGTAGAAGTAAACAAATATTATTTGGTAAGAGTTTCACTATGTGACTTTGAGGTCACGGGTTCAACTCTTACCTATTGCGATTCTTGAGATTGGGGAGTCAAGGAGCCTTACATGCAAAGCCGAATCGGGTTGACCCGAGTGAGGTAGAACAAAATAGCATCTACTTTTAGACACAAATTTTTTTTTTTCCGTTGCTAATTTTACCGACGGATTTTTTTTTCCATTGCAAAATTTAGAGACGAATTTTTTTTTCCCGTTGCTAAAACCAGAGACAGAAATAAAAATCCGTTGCTAAAACCAGCGACAGAAATAAAAATCTGTTGCTAAGTTCAGCAACGAAAAACAAATACAACGTCGCTAGTCTTATTTAGCGACAACAGTTTTGTCAATGGAGTAACTCCGTTTCAAAATCCGTCGTTACCTATATTTAGCAACAGAAAAGTATAATCTAGCAACAGATTTGATCTGTTGCTAAATGTCTATTTTTTTGTAGTGAATGGACAATTTGTCCACCTCTTAATGAAGACTCTCGCTTTTCCTTATAAAAAGGTTACAATCACAATATATATTAAAATGGGCCACAGGTTAATGGGGGAGCCCAGGTTTCTCTCCGAGATAAACTAGAGGTGATCATTAGGCGGGCCGAGGCCAAAAAATTCAGCCCACTTCTCGGGTCGGGCCGGGCCAAGTTGCGTGCTGGAATTTTTGTGTCCAAACCCGCCCAAAATAGCCGGGCCATGCGGGCTTTTCAGGCAATTTTTGGGCCGGGCCAAAAAAATCAATTACAAATGCATATAATCACATTCCCAAATCTACCCAAAAAACTAAAATTTCGGGACAAAACACGCCCAAAATCGGGTTGGGCTAACTTTGATCAGGTCTAAGATAAACAAATCTGTTTATCTTGGTGGCAAAATTATAAATATAATCACATTCGAAAAGTAAAAAAAAAAAAATTCATCTTCATTTTCCTCTTCCCCCTAATTGTGAAATCGTGACTCACCTCCATGGTTTTTTCTTCCTTCCTTCATTCCTCACACAACTAACCACCTTTATCTTCTTCTTCCTCCATCGATCCTTATCTACCTTCATCTTCTTTCTATCCTTCTTAAAGATGCTTCAATGGAGAACACCAAATCTAACACTATGAAAATAGAATTAAGGGAAGGTGTTTGTCGTTGTTTGTGATTTCCTTTCTCTAGTGATTTCACTATTGACGGTGTTGGTGAGCTTCTTTATCTTCTTGCTCCAATCTCCATGAAGCTACAGTGAAGGTTCTCTTCTTGTAAATGGCAATATTAGAGGTGATCGTTTGCGGGCTTGGACAAGAAATGGGCCAGGCCTATACTTCATTTTTTGTCCAACGGATTTAATGTAGCTTACTCGAGCCCTTTTATGTGGGCTTGATAATTTGTCCAAGCCCGCTCTATTAAATGGGCCTAAAATTTTTGTTTTACATATTTCTAACACTAATTAATCTTTTTATTATTTACTTATGTTAATATTATATTGATTAAGTTATTTTAAAAATTTCATGATCACTATAAAAAATTTAAACTTGTGACATATGTAATATGTTAATGAAAAATACGAAAGAATGAACTTATTTAATAAGTCTTTAATGATAATGTGAAATTGAAATAGATAGTTGTAGCTAATAAAAGCTAGGAGTCCAATATAGTCTCTTTGTATTTATTTTCTAAAATATACAACATAATCAATTAACTAAAAATCATTAAACTATTAATTTTTGAAATAAATGGGTCGGGCAGGCTAACCCACGGTACATATTGTCTTGTCTATGTCCGTCCATTTATATTAACAGGTCGAGCCTAGCTCGCCCAAATATTCAATTTTTTTCAAAATGGTTGTCCAAGCTCGCTTATTTTGCGGGCCGAGTTGGGCGGACTCAGCAGGTTGTCCCGTCCATGAACAGCTCTAGCAATAATAATACCCTTATTTTAAGGGTAAAATGACTAAAGCACCTTGTAACATTTTTTTCAAGTTTCTCACGAAGAGATGCTTAAATTTTCTCCGGGTCAATGAAACTATTGACGAGAGACTTTGAAATCAAAGACAATATATAGTTGCAAATTAAAGTCAAAAATTTTAAAGGAACATGATGAGAACTCTCTTTCCACCGTTTATTAACATTTTTGAAATTTCATTCTAGTTTCTAATTCTAATCTTGATACAGTGCTCTCTCAAGTGGGTTAGCAGGCTGAGCGCTTTCCTCCGAATTTCAGGAGATCTTTAGTTCGATTTTCATTATCTGTCCTTTGTGACTCTCTAAACCCCCCTCCTCCCCTCCCCCAACCAAAAAAAAAAAGTTGGTTTCTATGATGTTTCCTCTTGACCTTGAAGTCAACGCATGTAACATTCAATGCAGTAGGTTTGCTAACTTATCAATTTTGAATGGTCACCTTGTATCCACCAAAACGATGTGGGTCCCTAATCTTAGGAAAAATAAAAATTCATGATGTCAAATATTGACTTAATTCAACACTTAATCAATAAAAGCCATGCTAATAGAGTAATAGTCATTGCCATATATCACCTTCATCCTACACCTTCACATTACTAATATGATGATATTTCCATTAATATTTATCATCTTCCTACGCCTTGAATTTGTTTTATCAACCTCGAATCATTCCTTTGTAAGCTTTGGTTACACAGCCGGAACGATCGATAATTTTGGAAAAAAAAGCCTTCAAAATCTCTTAGTGACCTTTACATCCCAAACCTTAAGTACCGGGTTTTATAACTTTAGTACTACCTTCCCCGGAACTCCCAATCAGCTGCACGGCCTTTACCTTTGTCGAGGTGATGTCGTTGACCCCCTAGCTTGCTATTGTTGTATTAATTCTGCTAAAAACTATATCTTAGAAAAATCATTTTATGGAAGACAGGGTTTCGTTTGGTATGACCTTTGTATGGTAAGATACTCGAATGAGTCGTTTCTTGGCAAGTTGGATACAGAGATATCGAAGGCCTCTTGGCACGACGATCATAAAATCAAGGGTAGTCGTAGAATTCATTTGATGAAAATTCTAAGGAATACGTTGAAGGCCTTGGCCATCCAAGCCTCGAATGTTTTAAATGGAAATAAATTTGCTTCAAAAGTTGTCAAGTATACAAGGTATGATTCTTTGCACGCGATGGTCCAATGTACACCGGACTTGTTGGCTAGCGATTGTTACAAGTGCTTGACAAGCGCGAGACAGATGCTACTGAGTCATCCCAGCAGCTTAAGTGGAGATGCTATATACAGTAGTTGTATGGCTCAATATAAGACTACTACTCTCGCATTCAATAACAAATATTCAACAAGTGAAGAGGTTAAGCCCATGCCGTTTCTCCCATCTACAGCAGCCACTAATTCGGCACCAATTTCACTAACAGGTAAACGCAAATACTAAAAGTTCGTATATGATAGTAGTCTTAGTTATACTTGGATTTGATTTTGTTCGAGTTAGCTATAATAGTTTGATTAGAGATCTCATCATTAGTAAGACTAGTCAAGTGATTAAGCTGAAGTTTCGTACCCCTAGTTTTTTTTTTTTTTTTCCTCCAAAAACTAGTCAAGTGGGTCTATATATTTCAATGAAAGTTAGGCCCTATTTCACTTTACCTTAAGAAAATAATATATATTCAGTAAAAATAAGTTCAATTCATTAAAAATAAGTTTCGTTCATTAATAATCAGTAACTTTAAAGAATAAATATAATAGAAAATTAGTAAAAATAATTTTAGTTCAGCCAAATTGATTTCATTTCGTTAAAAATAATTTCAACTCAATAAAATTAATTTAAATTCAGTTAAATAATTTCAATTCAGCAAAAATAAGGTAAAGTGAACATGATCTTATACGAATATATACTAGACCATTCAAAATATGAAGAACAAAACACAAACCTTATTACTAACTGTACACAAACCCTTAGTCTTTGCCACTAGACTAAGACTTCGTTAGTATTGTTATTTTCTTGCAAACACCTTTTATTATCCTTTTTTTTTTTTTTTTAAGAAACACCTTTTATTATCTTACCTTGACATATACATTACAAAGTATCTAATTGTCTCTTAATTTATCTACTTTTTAAAACAGTATTATTGCTCTTTTAGAATGTATGTTTACTAATTTGCTCTGCAGTTTACTGTTGAATTAAGTACTTGTGATTACCTAACCTCATAATTTGTGTGTACTTTATAGATGAATACAAATCATCATATAATCCGAGGAAGATATCTAAAGTGTTTTTAAAACTTTAAATTTTAACTACTACAATAAGTAGTATTTTTTAATGTTTTGTTTTTGAGTCCATCCATTTGTAACTTTATAATATAATTTGTGCAATTATTCATTTTTGTTTTTGATTTAGGAACACAACTCGATGATCCTGCAGATAGAAGTGAATGATCTATGGAATAACGATGGATTGTAGTCGAGCACACGAACTATATATATAATGAGCTGAGCTTCCCTATAAAACAATGTGGTAAACTGGTAATAAATTAAACTGGTAGTTTGGGTAACATATTGTAACGATCTATGTTGTTTCATTTGCTACAAAATATAAGATAAAAATTTCTCTGTATTAGACATGTAACTTGCATCAAACTGCTGTATAACATACTTCATATAAGCATGGAGTGATACGTATAACATATTTCATATAATGCGAAGATGATGCTTTATATCAATATTTCTAATCACGGTGCAATCAAATTATTCCATACTGTAATGTAGTGTTACTTGATTCACTGATTCCTCCACGAACTATGTTCAAATTTCGATAAAAATACCAATTGATATATGTGAATAACATACATTTAACACTTTCGGACTATACTGCAATTTGATTAAAAAAAAAAAACAAATAACATAAATGTTGCATTGGAAAATTGAGTTAATTATATTGCTAGTGACATTTTTGGTGTTTGCTACAACCGTAGTACCATACTCGGTTCATAGTCAACCTTGTGTGAAAACGGTGTATTGAAAAAACGGAGCATAAAATCATCGAACTATGTCGCACCACAATATTTTGAAGGACATTATTGCTCGAGGATACTTTGTTGAGCATTGTTAGTTGATGCATTCACTACAATAATCTTGGCTACTAGTGTCACCGCGACAAAGGTATTGCGTGTAGGCTTCATCATGGTTTTTGGCCTAAGGAAGAGTTGTGAAATCCGGTCAATGAAGCCTCAGAAGGTAAGGTAGCTAAAAGATTGTTAAGGTTGGCTCGCTTCAAACGGGCTATTCGGGGTCTAATTTGGATGCTTGCGCTATTGTTAAAGTTATCAAGAACAGCTTCAGTTGATGGAATAACAATTTGAATTAAAAGTAATAAGGTAAGGATTATTTAATTTGCAGTTTCATGGTATATTTGAATTTGCTTGAAAACTAAAGGTTTATTTTGATTACGAAATAAGGATAAAATTAGCCTGGGAGGAGGCATTATTTAACTGTGGTATTACTTGACTTTTCAAAACTATGCATTGACTAAGGTGTCAATGGTCATGACATTGTATTATTAATTTATTGTTTTGTAGAAGATTATCTTGTATTAAGTGGAATTTTTATTTATGGGTCTCTACTTAATGTCTGAATTTTTCTAGGTAATCAAGCATTACAAGGTTTGACGATGCAACTTTCTTATGAGCGACTATGAAAAAAAAAATAGTTGAATCCACCTCCATAAGTAATAAGGCAAAATTGGTCATAATGCACAACATAAACTATATATGATTTAGGTGTACGCAACATCGCCTTTGATTACTCTAATAGTTAAAACAACACGAACTATGGCAAAAGATACCATACATGTCATAAATGACACAGAAATTCCATCAGAAAAGGCATTGTTGGGGTCATTATGGCATGCATTTCAAACTTTGCCATACATACTTCATGTTGTTTTGGCTATTAGTTAAAGGTGGCGTTGCTGGAATCGCCACATGTTGTTGAGAACAATATTGTTAATATTAGGGAAATTCTCACTGATTTTCTTGTACATTTCGCTTTTCTCCTTGGTACACCATACACGATATTTTCTTGTGAATCCTTCATTGGGTTATCAAACCAAATTCACCCATTCACTACTTATATACCAAACCATTGTTGATGCATGCATTACATGATTGGATGGGTTTGTTTACATTATACTAACACTCCATTGTCTCCATATTGTTGATTTTGTGTTGTTGATGCCAATTTCTCCCAACCGTAAAAGTTGCATAGGATATATCCCATGAAATAATTGTTATAAAATGATATCAATAATGTACAATATAGGTAGAAATGTAAACAATAAAATAAAAACAACTAATGAAAATTTATACTTCAATTCTATTAACACATATTATCTACAAAAAGGAAAGTCTTGCATTAGTCATGCATGGCACGAGTTTAAAACTATTGTATTTTGGTAAGTCTTCATTGGAATAAACCAATCCAAGTTTGAAGCAAGTATGCCCACTTGATATAGTAGCAGACAACTAGAAGCCATTGCATTACGAATTAATTTCCTCCAATGTTTGTTCTATCGAGGATAAATTAATGAAGTATCATCTCTATTTTTAGAATTTTCACTGGATGATGTCTGCCCCTCTCTTTGGGAACCATATTGGAAAATCGTCAATGGACCAACCTGCGGTGGTTCGGGCTCCGGGAGAGCAACAAGATGGCCATTGAAGGTTGATACTATCGGAGCCATCGTAGGCCTCTTATTTGGGTCTTCTTGGATACATAGCAAAGCAATGTGTACGCATCTTGTTACTTCCTCGCTTGAGTAGTTGCCATCAAGCCTTGGATCCACCAAGTCGAGTATTCCACCGTCTCTCCATAAGCTCCAAGCCTTTAACACCAAATTAAACCCCCATTATTTCATGTATCTTGATGAGTTATTATGATTATAAGTTAAGGTCTATATGACCACAATATAGCAATATAACCAAAGAAATGGACTTCAACAATAAGTTCAAACTTTTGGTTGATCTGATTTGGTCACTTCAATTCCTTTAACATGATATCGAGAGTTAGCGTGATAAAAAGGTCATGAGGTCAAATCTCATTTGCCCACGATGCATCAAGATTATTAGACTTACACGTAGGCATAAACTTTCACCTTCAAAGGGGAAGGCAATTGAGCTGCACTTGTGCCCGCTTATAATCTCTAGAGCTATTACTCCAAAGGCTATAAACATCTGACATGACTGAGAAGCGCCCTGTCAAAGCATATACTCCGGAGCCATATATCCACTGTAAAGTACAATCAAATGTGTAATATAAACCAAAACAAATAATTGTGTTGTTAAAAGGCATCCTATGCTTCGAGTTCTTCCCTCCCTTACCTCACAAAAAGTGATCAACTAAATCTAGTTATTTAATTTAGTATATACTTTTATGTTTTTTATGTGTTTCTTATCCAAAAAGTTAAAATAAGTAAAAAAAAAGTTCAAACTTTTACTAATTTTCTTTTTTCTTTGGTTTTCATTGCTACATTATCAAGGAAGAATTCAAGGGAAAGGATCATGATTATATTTGTAACGAGTACTATGTGGATTATACTTATTATGTGCCAGCAATCTTAGTGGTATCTACATGAGCTTGACTTGTTCCAACAAGTCTTGCCAATCCAAAATCTGCTATTTTCGGGTTCATGTTTTCATCAACAATATATTGCTCGATTTGATCCCGATGGATGATCTTCAACCTAGAATCTTCATGGAGATATAGTAGTCCTCTTGCAGTTCCCATTAAGATTTTGTAACGGGTTTCCCATTCTAGAGTTGCTTGCCTGTTTTGGTCTGCAATATGTAATTTATAATTGTATAAACATTATCTTTGTGACCAATAAACTTATAATCGATGATTAATAAATGGGACTAGATCAAATGAAATAAATTTTAGTACGACGATTCTATGAAGCATATCAAGCAGGACTTTGTCAAGACTTGCATTAGGCATGAGTTCATAGACATGTAACTTTTCTTTTTTATATAAGCAAAATCCCAACAACGTAACCAAATTCTTATGCTGGAGCTTTGCAACTAAAAGAACCTCTGTCTTGAACTCTTTGTCGCCTTGCCACGAATTTGTTGACAGCCTTTTCATTGCTATTTCTTGTCCATTTTGAAGTTTACCCTATGAATATGGCAATAAAACGAGTAGATTACATATGTTACAAGATCATTAGATTAACAAATTAAATGATACAACACATATAATGACTAGTGATTACATGGTTATTAATTTTATTATACCTTGTAAACCCTGCCAAATCCACCTTGACCAAGTTCTTTGTTCAGAAAAGTTGTTAGTTGCATCTCTTATCGTCTTAAAGTTAAATTGTAATGAATCCACAGCTGTGATCTCTTCTGGATCCATGCGAGGAGCTATGTAGCCGAGTAGGCATGCAACTGCAACCGCAACTGCGTTGTGTGAACATTATTGGCTTAAGGTAGGTTGTTTTAAAGAAAATAAAGCTCTTTTCTTTATGGAACTCTCGAAATAAATTTGATAATATAAAAGAACAATTTGAAAATTTCTTAAACACACAAGAGTTACCTGGTGAGGGTATTGTTCCTTGGTAACGGTAGATATAAAAGCAATAAGCACCAAAGAGAAGCAATGACTGTAGTTATTACAATAACAACTACACGAATTTCCGATGATTTATCTGTATTGTACAAAATCATTACATTACCAATATAATTAAGTGTTAAAATTTTGACATATAATGTCTTAAATTATGACATATAATTTTGTTTTAAAGCAGCTAAAATATAAACTCTTAAGAAATTCGTACCCTTTGAGTTGGTATTGGGAACAATATAAGCCGGTATGAATGACATTACAGCGGTGTCACTCTTGTAAAAGGGTTGGTCGTACTGGTTGAACTCAAACCTAACAATACAACTAGGCAGCATAACTCTTCCACCGTACTGGTGTAGAAACTGGCGATTAGCCATCCTCAAGCACGTTGCACAATCGACATCGTTCAAGTCGGGTGTGCACTGCCCCAGTATATACAACCGCGGCAAGGTGCCTGTACTGCTGCCTACATTAGTCCCAAACTTTGCAGTACTATTTGCAACTTTCGGTACTAATTTCTCGGCAGTAGTAGTCAGTACCTCGACAAAATCTCTGAGTCTCATTAGGACTTATGCTTCGAGGGTTCCCTATAATCCACCTAGGATCGTATTCCAACTTTTGAAAAAACAACACGTTTGAATAAAGGAGCATACAATACTCGAACCATATAACAGCCCGATATTTAGAGGAACAATTTAAGAGAATGTAGTTATGTGCTTCTTCTACACAATCCCTACATTCAGTAGTCGAAGCGTCACCACGACATAGGTAAGCGCCGTAGACTTGATCGTCCCCTTGGCCAACGGAAGAGTTATAGTATCCATTTGCCGAAGAATGGGAAATCAAGTTGGTTAATAGGTCGTTTAGATTAGTTTGGTAAGAACTATTTGGGACAAAACTCGGACTATATGTGCAATTTGGATAATAATCGGCTAGGGCAGCCATGGACATAACAAATTGAACAAAATTTACTAGTAATTTAAGGTATGATTTAAGCATATTTAACGAGAGGTTTTGTTTCATTTTTAATTTGTTAATGTTAGAATAATTCGAATGAGTTTAATGCATTTATAATTAAAACATTTGAAGACAGTGAAATTGACAAATAATCTGTAAAGCACTTAAGAAAAGTCTTCAAGTCTACCTCGTGGTTTTTAAAGTCAACACGACTTCATAGTTTTTAATTTCTAAGTGGCTTCATAATTCAATATCATATATACCAAGTTCAGTGTATATCTATAATGATAATGATAATTATTGTTTATACTTTAGAGTTTATAATCCCTTGATCTACTCCCTAATTATAATGATAATTATTGTTTATACTTTAGAGTTTATAGTTTTTAATTTCTAAGTGGCCCTAACTTTCATAGTCAAATTATATTCCTTATTAGTAGCTAATGTATATCCCTTAACTTGAAGGTGGGGATTCCCTAACCATTTCCCCAACTCCGCCCAGGCCTGTGTACTCGGCTCGGATATGCCTGTGAGAGGCTCTAGTCTAGTAAGGCGCATTCTCCTTAGCTAAAGTATAAATATTCCCTCCGCATTTTATTACTTACTCCACTTTTCTTTTGCGAATGTATTTTATTACTTGCTCCGTTTCCTTTTTTGAAAACCTTTCAAAATACTTTACTAATTTTTTCTCTCCTAATGGACCCTGGCCCAACTATCATACTTTAATATTTTCATATTCTCTCTCTTCTCAACTATCATATTTTATTCTTTCATAAACCCCACTTCCTTCATACAGGTATTTATTACTTTCTACACTCTTTCTTCTAAAACTCCGCGCATATGAAAAAATGGAGCAAGTAAGAAAATACAAAGGGAGTATATCTTATATACTCATCAATACTCTCTAAGATTTCTCATAATCAGTTTAAGCTTTCTAACGTTTAATTTCTCATAACTCTATCAAATATCTCTCCATCAAATATCTCTCCGAATCACTCTTTTTTTACATAAGGAAAAGGTGGTTCATTCAAAAAAAAAAAAAAAAAAAAAAGTTGTAAAATTTGAAAATGCTAATAAACTACGGGAAACATTTGGGTTGTTTGATCATGATGATATGATATGAGGGTCCTTATTCGTTCCTTGTTCTGATTTTAAATTTGATCCTTTTTGGAACTTGATTCTATATAGATATATACGTACATAGTATGCACAAGTTCCGCCCGTTCCTTTCATGGAAAGCGGTGGACATACATGTTTGTATCCAAATGCCTTTTTGCACCTTTGCAATCAATTAGAAAAAAAAACTAAATCATATTTTACAACAACGTTATGATGACTAAATTTCAACATTAAAAAGTAAATCGAAGTTTCATTACATTTTGTCAAGGAAATTTGTAATTTTTTGTTCTCCTCCTTTCACAAATTGAAATTTTTATGAATGAGTGATGTGTATGTACTCTTAGAGGTCAAATTAAGAATATTTTTCATGTAGTTCGAGAATTCCGGTAGCACTATAGTACCAATTATCACAAGTGAAATTATTACGTACTAGCCCTTTTTATTATTTACAAAATATAAACATTTCTTAATGTGTAAGAAAATCAAAAATTATATTAATTGACCACTATACATTGACTTATCGAACTAGGAAAGACAAATACTAATAATGCATGGAAGATTCCAGCTGACGTTAAAGTTGATTGCAAACATTTATACATATTACAGATTCACAGCCACCTAATAATTTAAGAAACGATAATCATTTATATCAAGTCTTGCATTGAAGATAATAATAGGTCTTAGTGGACTTGGTCAAGTTATTAGTCTTGCATGGAAGATAATAATAGCTTTTGCGAATTTAATAATGACCCAAAATTTTTTTAAGACAAGATACAAAATTTTGACTACTTTTTTTTTTTTTTTTTTTTTTTTTTTTTTTTGTGATAAATTTTACTCGGGCATAAAGACAATGAGATGAGGAAAGATCACTAGTACTCCGAACTACATACCAGAGTATGTAATCGAAGGGATAATCCGCAAATCTTTGTTCTTTTTTACTTAATCTAATTTAACTTTATACTATTTATACACTCATTTTTAATCGTATTTTGTGATAATATATATATATATATATATATATATATATATATATATATATATATATATATATATATATATATATATATATATAGAATTTAAGATGTTGGTGGTAGATATGTTTATGAATTGACAAGCGTGACTAATGGAATATGTCAAGTCTAAAAGAAAGGAGTAAATATTAGTCAGCTTCCTACACACTGCGCTGCTCTTCTGATGTAGGAGTATAATATATATATATATATATATATATATATATATATATATATATATATATATATATATATATATATATATATATATATATATATATGTAGACGTGTCAAAAAGTGACACGATCTGACCTGAGGCTGGCAAAGAAAAATAAATAATCGATTCAAATTTCAACTCGTATGGACATAATAATTTAACATGAGTCGATTTTGAAGTATACTTGACCCGACCTGACCTCATTAAACTCGATCCAAGTACTCAAATTAACACCTCTATATATATGAAAAAATCTTAACATGATCCAACTTTGTTAAGCCAAATTTTCTTAGTTATGATTTGGAAGACTGCTTCCTAATGTTTTAAATTTTGTTTTGATAGCATTTTACTTATTTTCCATTTTCCTTCCTTTTAGGCCTTGCTTTTACTTTACAATGATTTCTCCTAAAAGACAATGTTGGCTATGCAGGTATTGCTAGTGTGTGTAAAGATCAGACAGGAAATTGGATTGGAGGTATTGCTTGCCATACTAAAACCATTTCAGCAGTTATGGCTGAGGCTTTGGCAATCATGGGAGCTGCTCAGTAGGCTATAGAAAGAAAACGGAATCATGTCTCTATTCTTTTAGACTGTGAAAGGGTTGTTGTTGAAATCCTTTATATCCCACTTGTTAGTGTCTCACATTGGAGAAAGAGGAAAGATGGTTGCACTTTATAAGGGAGGAGTTACTCCTCCTATTGTTGTATTCTCTTAAAACTTAACAGTTGTTGTAAATTGTGACTCGAAATCTAGTAGGGCTGACTTTGAATGCAGATATCTCTCAAAATACAAGTTATTTTGATCTGATTCAAGTTGGAGGTGATATCTTGGTTCAAGATCTTTCCAACGGAAGGTCATATGCCCAATTCCAATAAGAAACAAGAAAGTTATGACCGTTTTCCGAAAACTTGACAAAGCTGGAAAGTTGCGATGAGGTTGCGAGCTATAGCGAGTGAGCTATAGCTCGGCCCTATGAAGACTTGCTGCAGGCTTGAGCTAGTTGTCGAGCTATAGCTTGGTAGTTTGGTTCTTCTAGGATAATTTATGGGATATTTTCTAAAATTATATCTTTTCTATGACGGCTATTTGAGTATACTTGGGGAACAATTTAGGGTTTTTATTAGGGTTTCCTTTTGTTATGAAAGGACCCTTTAGTTGATCATTTAGATCATACTTTTTGAGCCATTAGATTTAGGACTCCTTGTATTATTCTCTCGTTTTTTCTCCATTATAGTGAAGAAGCTCTCGAATCCCCTACCCATGGATGTAAGTCTAATTTGACCGAACCATGTAAATCCTTGTGTTCTTTGTTTATCTTCTTTATTGCTTTTCTCGTTCTTATTTTTCATTGATTTGTTCCGCATTAATCAAACACGATTACACTCTTATTTCCTAACAAACTAGTATCAGAGCCAGATTTTAAGGTCTTAGGTTTTAGGTGTTTATAGATTAGTTTGATTAAATTATGCCAATGAAATTCGACATTGAGAAATTCGATATGCAATTGAATATGGCAATTGAAGATGAAAGCCATATTGGTTAAATGTGGCTGTCACAAGGCTCTTGAAGGTGTATCCAAAAAGCCTTCGAGCATGACAAAGGCCGGATATGTAGGAGGAGATCGATTTAAAGGCTTTTTCGGCAATTCAATTATGTCTCTCTGATGATGTTTTGAGAGAGGTTGCCAAGAAGACGAATGTTGCAGGTTTTTGGTTGAAGTTTGAGTCACTTTATATGACAAAGAGCGTGACCAACCGTCTACTAATCAAATCTAGACTCCATGATGATCTTCGTCTAGAGGAAGGTAAACCGCTTAAGTCTTATTTAGATGAATTTTTCTCTATTATTATGGATTTGCAAAACATCGATTTGAGATCGATGATGAGGATATGGTTATTAGCTTGTTGTGTTCTTTACCGCCTCCGTATAAGCACTTCGAGATACTTTATTGTATGGTAGAGATGATTTGAGTTTGGAAGATGTTAATGATGCCTTAACCCAGAGAGATTTAATGGACAATAAATTGGTTAGTAAATGTAATAATCCGGCTCAAAATAATTCTTTGGTTGCTCATGGTGGTAGTACGAATTTTGGTAAAGGAAAAATTTGTAACTATTGTCACGTGAAGGGTCATATCAAAGCCGAGTGTTTGAAATTGAAGAAGAATAATGAGGAGAAGTTCAATGAGGACAAACCCGCAAATATGGCAGCACCGATGATGATTATGATTATGCACTTTAGGGTTACGAGCTTCAGGGTTGCGGTTTCTACGATCTCTTCATGATAAGTGCCGTTTTGAGATCTCTTGGTGAAACGAGAAACCGTGTGGATTTTGATTATGGAGTCTATGATAGATTGCTTTTGTTTTTTGTTTGTAATAAAGTAGCAATCTTGGTTATGCATAAGATTTTGTTCTAGTTATGCTATTTCTTATCTCAATTTTGGTACTTTTATAATTTATTAAGTACAATTGCAATTTAGAAATTCTTTATGTAATTTTTATTTTCTAGAATTTCTTAAGTTTTTTTGGTTTGATTTTGAGATGAAGAAGTGTTTGAAGAGAGTTTGGTCCATTTTGATAAGAATTCTTGGAGTCGGGACATTATACTCTCAATTTAGGCCATGTGATGGCTTTGTGTACGGAATTTTGTGTTTAGAGATGCACCGATTCACAAGTTATGGAAGATGTTTGTTTGTTGATTGCCTAATGTGAGTGGGCTTATGGAATTTTGTTTAAGATGGAGGTTCTATTGTTTTTTTATGAGCATTACTTCTTGGTTTTTTGGTTCATGGAGTTAACTTGTTTTAGTCGATTCCAAGGCAAGGTGGAGATTTGTTAAATTGTGACTCGAAATCTAGTAGGGATGACTTTGAATGCAGATATCTCTCAAACTACAAATGATTTTTGAGGTGATTTAATTTGGAGGTGATAGCTTGGTTCAAGATCGTTCCAATGGTAAGTCATATGCCGAATTGCGATAAGAAACGAGAAAGTTATGGCCGTTTTACGAAGACCTGACAAAGCTGAATAGTTGCGACGAGGTTGCAAGCTATAGCTCGGCCCTATGAAGACTTGCGGAAGGCTTGAGTTAGCTGCCGAGCTATAGCTCGGTAGTTCGGTTCTTCTAGGATAATTTATGGGATATTTCCTAAAATTATATCTTTTCTATGACGGCTATTTGAATATACTTGGGGAACAATTTAGGGTTTTTGTTGGGTTCGTTTCCATGTGTTATAAAAGGACCCTTTAGTTGATCAATTAGATCATACCTTTTGAGCCATTAGATTTAGGACTTCTTGTATTATTCTCTCGTTCTTTCTCCATTATAATGAAGAAGCTCTCGAATCCCCTACCCGTGGATGTAGGTCTAATTTGACCGAACCACGTAAATCCTTGTGTTTTTGTTTATCTTCTTTATTGCTTTTCTCGTTCTTATTTTTCATTGACCTGTTCCGCATTAATCAAACACAATTACACCTTTATTTCCTTACAGTTGTCATTGGCATAAATGACATTAAGCCTAAACCAAATCCAACAGGTTCAAGGAGGGTCGGGAGTTTGGATTTTCATCAACTACTGCCCGATAGCTGAGATCGAATACGCGGTTCTCCTTACCAAGTGCAGCCCCATTCACCCTGAACCAACAACCAATTGTTTATGCAAGCTCATTATGACATCAATACAATGTTAAACCCAATTTTAATCAACTTACTAGCATAGTGTCCGTGCGATGCACGGTTTATAAATCAAATTACTAATTATTAATCCCGTAGGAAAAAAGACAAAAATAATTCAATTAGTAATAAAGGGCTCATTTACTAATAGTCGATACAAAAATAAAGGAATGTAATTTGAATAGTAGTTAAAGTTATTATTATTTTTTTTATAATTTCATTTTATCAATTAAAAATAAACGAATATTGCTCCACATAATTATCTAAGAGAAGTATATTCATTCATTTTCTATCTCCCATGGAAAAAAAAATTAAAATTTTCTTGTCATACCTTCTGCTTCAGTAGCTACAATCTAATACGAAGTACATGTTTTACCCGTCGTATTCACCAAAATCTTTAATTATTATTATTATTATTATTATTATTATTATTATTATTATTATTATTATTATTATTATTATTATTATTATTATTATTATTATTATTATTATTATTATATATTTAGCATAAATTTTGCTTGGAAAATATTTTTTTTTAACTTTTCGATGTATATTTTTTTTTTATCTAAGTCAATTTAATTTACTTTAGGTTTGTATATTAAAAATTTGGAAAATCTATATTTATTTAAATTTACATTAGATAGTAGTCTAAACTTACATAGCTAGAATGGAAAATATTAATTACAGAAATGAAAAGTATATGAATTTAAATAATCATAATTATATTATATGATTTGGTGAATATTTTGTGTATAACTTATAGTAAGTAATTAATGGCATTGACTAAAATAAATAAAAAATAAATAAAAAAAAAGGAATTTTGGAGGAAAAAAACATCACCGAAAAATAACACGTGTCATTTTTAATGTCTATTTTAGTATTATGTTATTGATTGAAATTGTCCACTATCTATATGAGACTTATATTTTTTTTATGGAGAGAGAATCCTTTTATATTCTAGGTATGTAGAATGATTCCACATAGCTGAAAGACTATATTAATAAAGTTTTAAAAATGGATTTATATGACTTACTAGGCCAGTTGGCACAATGGGGTTTACTCGGTGTAGGATCATAATAGGGGTGTACTCGGTATAGGATCATAGGAATTATGTTTTGGTGGGACCAGTAATTAGTTATACATTAAAATCAGGAAAATGTATTGAACTAATTTTAAATGACATTTAAAAGTAGAATTATTGATATTATTCTATTATTTTAGTTCTTATATTGTTGCTAAAGATGAATGGAGCAAGGTAGACAATGCCCCACATTGATGAGAAAATTAAGAAGGAAAGAGGAAATCGAATTATTAAACAATAGACGACTTTGTCCAAATTAAATTTAGAATAAGTCCACTATGAAGAGATAGGTTCGACCTATCTTGACAATAAATAATTTCTAAATATCTTTTGATGTACCAATAATTAATTATTTCTTGTTTGATCTAATATTGGGAAGTTGTTAATTAATTATTTCTTGTTTGATCTAATCTTGGGAAGTTGTTTTCTTTCATGTAATTAGATCTTGTTCTCTTTACCTTATAAAAGTAATATCCAGTAAAAAAAAGTTTTATTTCAGTAAAAATCAGCAACTTTCAGTTCAGTACAAATAATTTTAGTTCAGTAAAAATCAGTAATTTGAAAGAATAAATATAATAGACAATCAATTAAAGAATTTATTTTAGCAAAAATCATTTCAGTTCAGTAAAAATAATTTAAGTTCAGCAAAAAAAATTTAGTTCAATATAAACAATTTCAAATCGGCAAAAATAAGATGAATTGAATAGGGTTTAATAGGAAATTAGTAAAATTAATTTCAGTTTAGTAAATAGTTTAAGTTCAGCAAAATAATTTCAATTTAATAAAAATATATATAATATCGATTTAGCAAAAATTAGGTGAAGGATCTCAGTGAACACTATTAGCTAGTATTTGGGCCTGGGCTGCCCGAAAAAATTACATGAGGTTAGAATTAGATGTTATACGCATATTCGAATTTTTTATGAATAACTTCTTTACTATTATAAGTTGATGATGACATACATCAAATGAGAAACAAATGGGAAAGAGTTCCACGTGCCACGTATTGTTCATTTCATCATTTGAACAATGGCAGAGCGGGGAGCTGGCATTGGCCATGGCCTCTTCCTTGACTGTAATTTATTTATTAAGATTAATAGTATGTTGTACAAGGTAAGTTGCATTAGAGTTTGTTCAATTTGGTTTCAAAATTCACTTTGCTTTCCTCACCTTGAGATCGAATCTTGTGCCTTTCAATTTTTTTGATTGAAGTTTGCTTTAGTGCACTCAATAGACTAGAGTAGTACCTAGTAGATTGGGGGCTTGGGAATTTGTCTCTCTATTTCCAAAAGGCATTCAGTTCATATTTTTTTTACTTTTGAATTAAACTAATTGGGTATCACTCATTTAATGTATTGTTCTAGAATTGGACATTATTGTATTTTATATTATAAAACTATATATTACAATAGAAGTATAGATTGGTTTTTTTTTTTTTTTTGTATGAAATATGAGTGCATACATAAAATTTGGCCCCTAACAAAATATTTCTGGCTCTGGCTCCGCCTTCGCCACTGCATTTGAAATCTTTTTAAATATATAGGGCGTGTTCGGCAAAATGTAGCCATAGAAGTAGCTATTAGTCGTGAGAATAAATAATTAAGTATAAGTGTTTGGTAAACTAGCCATTGACTAGCTATTAGCTGTAAATTTCTAAATAAATAGAAGAAAAATTTCAACAGATACCTAGTTTTTCACAAAAGCTAATAAAATTAACTTTTCGCAAAAGCTAATCCAATTACTAAACTATATTGTCAAACATTCAGATTTTTTACTAAATAATGATTTGAATAAGTCAAACCACAAGCTACCTAAAAGCTACTCAAAAGTTAGTGTTGAACACGCCCATATTATAGATTACCTCTATTCCTAAATGAACGTCTAATTAAATTCAAAGTGTAAAAATCAAAATAAAATGTGTAATTGTGCAAGTGGTTTGAAAAAGTCAAAACACTAAAACTACTTAAAAGCTACTCAAAAATTAGTGCCGAACACGCCCATAGTATAGATAATCTCTATTCTTAAATGAACATCTAATCAGATTCAAAGTGTATAAATCAAAATAAAACGTGTACTTGTGCAAGGGGTTAAGATTCATTGACACAATACAATTGAAATTTTTCAAAGCATAAATATAAATACTTCCCCAAATAAAGCTTTTATACATTTGTCTATTGTACACATTTTTAGGAAATTAATTAAAATAAAAATAGCAGAATTTAGTTGACTAATTTACATCTGAATATAAATAAAAAATAATGATAATTTAAAGTTTAGTTGATAAAAAATGAATGAAAAATAGTGATATTCACTTAATAAAAACAAATTATCATATATAATACTCCATAACTAATAAGGAAATGTAAACAAAATGAGACTTTTTTATATGGAGACATAGGGAGTATAAAATTAATAATATCGAAAATTAATTTCCTAAGATTCGTTTAACTTATACTGTTATACATAACATTAACAATCAAAGTTGGTTAGCAAAAATGTCAACTATATATAGTGCTATACTTATACCCTATTATGGAGAGTAAGTCATTAATTTGGAAAAGTCAACCTTGGCAACCATAATAATGCAATGGATTTTAAAATATATATATATATATACACGTAGTATTATTTTTTTTTTGTTTTCTTCCCTTACTTACATTATTTCGTATATATTTCAGAATATAGTCCAATTAATTATCATCATTTTCTCTGTCTAGCCTATTTGCGCAAAAACCATGGTCATGATAATTTCCTTTACATTGTTAGTAGCTATTCAATTTATTATCCCAAGTGCAAAAGCTTATTTTTACTACTACACAAATTGCACGGGTAGTTCAAATTACATCATAAATAGCCCTTATCAAACCAACCTCAATAATCTTTTAAACAACTTAACCTCCCAAGCAACGCAGTCCAAATCACGATTTTACTACTCGACTTTTGGCCAAGCTCCCAATCGAGTCTACGGCCTCTACCTATGTCGAGGTAACATTGATAGTCAATATTGTAGCCGATGTGTTAATGAATCACATTTGAATATCCTCAAAGAATGTCCAACCCAAAATTGGGCCATTCTATGGAGCGAAAATTGTACAATTCGTTTTTCTAACGTGTCAATCTATCAGAAACTCGATGTTACTCATAGTATTGTGGGATATAACGATGTTCCACCTATTCCTAGTAATGGAGTTCAAGCATTTTTAAATGTACGGAATAAAACCATGAATGATTTAGCACCCCTAGTCGCGAATAGCTCCATGAAATATGGTAATAAGACCGGTGATATTACAAGGTCCCTAAAATATTACGCGATGGCTCAGTGTACACCAGACTTGACTGCCGATGATTGTAACCAGTGCTTGAGTAATGGAATTAGTCAGCTCCAGACGAGGATCGGTACATGGGTGTTGCTACCTAGTTGTAATGTTCGATTTGATCTTACCATTATGAATGAAACAGCAACAATTCATGAAGGTATGATTTATGAAATACATCTTGTGTATGTACAAGTAATTTTTATTTATTGGAGAAATTATAATTTTACTTCATATTTTGTGACTAACATACAAGTTTTTTTTTTTCTTTGACATGAGAACCATGTTAATATAAATTAAGTTCTGTCAAAGCAAGAATATGTCTTTACAAACATCGTACTAATAAAAAATTTAGGTTAAACAAGTGTATCATTATTATGTAAATGTTATATGTATACTATTAGGTAGCTCCTTAAAATAAATCATTGACCTATCTCATATCATCTTACTGTAAGATGAATAATCCTATTACTAATTTACAATATTAGTCTTACTTGTCACTTAATCTCGTTTGATTCTCATACTTGCATTATTATATACTACTCTATGTATCAATTTTTTTTTTTATTTTTTTTGGGAATATATGGCATTTTTTCTTCGTAGTATAGTTTTCAAGTGCGTATTAGTAACATTCTTAATTTCTTATTGATCTGTTTCTATTATGAAATTATGGAATTATGATTTTTTCTTGTAATTTAATTAGAATATCCTAATATGGTACATTTAGTATAATTGTCTTTTCTTCCCATTCTTTCATAAGATAAGTCCCAATGAGATTATGATGTTAACAAAAGAAAAATTACAAAAATGCAGGAAAAAGAAAAAATACAGCCAAGGTGATCATTGCCATTGTGATTCCAGTGGTCGTTATATCAGCTGTAATTCTTGCCCTAGGAATATGTTATAAGATTAAGAAAGTTAAGAAGTATAACACATTGCGCGCTAGAAGTGGTAAGAAGATCACGCATTATATTATTTCATACTCCCTAAGATTAGTTCTTTAAATTAAATTGTTACATTACTCATAAATCTTATGATGTTCAATTAATGATATGATACAGCAAGTCAGGATTTTGCAATGATTGAGTCCTTGCAATATGATGTGGCTACGCTTCAATTGGCAACTAATAATTTTTCAGATGAGAATAAAGTCGGCGAAGGTGGATTTGGAGGCGTCTATAAGGTATTACAATATAATTTGAACTTAATTTTAATTGAGTAAAAGAGTCATTTTGAGGCAATGAGTGGTACTCCATCCATTCTTAGATTATTTGTTCTTTTATTTTCTATATATATCCATTTATCTTTTTATTTTGTGTAAACTCTTTACCATCTTACCCCTATTACTCCATTATAAATTTATACGGAGTAATTAGTTAGTTTACACCTTTTGCTTAAACAACTTACATATCCATTCCATCTTTTTACACCCGCTCTTACTTTATCATTTTTTTTAATATCTTACATCCTCACATTTATAAAAAATTTCAAAAAATGTTTAGCAACCAAGTAGAACATAAAATAACGGAATTAGTAAGGTTTTTTTTTTTTTTTTTTTTTTTTTTTAAATATCATGCGCGGTTACACAATTGACTTGTAAAACTGTAAAAATTGCTAGTTGGTTTTGTTTTTATTTTAATTTATTTTTAATTTTTATCTTAGGGTATAATGCCAGATGGACAAGAAATAGCAGTGAAGAGGTTGTCCCAAGGTTCTTACCAAGGTGAACAAGAGTTCAAGAATGAGGTCTTGTTAGTAGCAAAACTTCAACACAGAAACTTGGTTAGACTATTAGGGTTTTGCTTAACTGGAGAAGAGAAGCTTCTAGTGTATGAATATGTTGCCAATAAAAGCCTTGACTATTTTTTATTTGGTATGATCGATTTCTCATGACAGAATCTTTTTAAGTCTCTTTCTAAGTTATTAAAGCTATTAATGGGCTAATTAACCTTTATATTGTAACTTATTATGATCTGCAGATACGGAAAGACAAGGGTTATTAGATTGGGGAACGCGATACAATATTATAGGAGGGATTGCTCGAGGGATGCTTTATCTCCACCAAGATTCTCGGCTTAAAATAATCCACCGTGATCTCAAAGCAAGCAACATTTTGCTTGATGAAGAATTGAACCCCAAAATTTCAGACTTTGGCTTGGCAAGGATTTTCGATGTGGATCAAAGCCAAGGGAATACAAATAGGATTGTCGGAACTTAGTGAGTATAATTTCAAAATTCAAATCATTTGTGATTGAATAGAAATAGGACCAAAAGATGTACATATTCATATATTATTGATGAATATACATTTATTTATGCGTACAACATTTTCTTGCAGCGGTTACATGTCTCCAGAATATGCAATGCAAGGCCAATTCTCCGACAAATCAGATGTGTATAGCTTTGGTGTACTTGTTTTAGAAATCATAACTGGAAAAAGAAGGAATAGTTGTTTCGATGATTTGGGTGACGCTGATGACCTTATAAGCCATGTAAGTCTCCTTTTAACTTACATGTTATTCTCCATTTTCCATACCAAAAAAAATGTGGAAGGATATAAACAAGTATTAAAATACAAATGTAGGCGTGGATAAAATGGAGGGAAGGAAATCCTTTGGAATTTGTAGATCCAATAATAAGAGACTCATGCTCAAGTGACGAAGTTATGAGATGCATGCACGTTGGCTTGCTTTGCGTTCAAGAGTCGATGGATGTTAGACCTACGATGGAATTACCAGTTCTCGTGTTACATAGTAATGCATACACACTTCCAATGCCACAAGAGCCTGTTTTCGTTTTCAGGAACATAAGAGAAGTAAACATTCTAGACAGCAAGTCTAGAGGGTCTGTGAATAATGTAACTATGTCTGGGGTTGACCCAAGATGAATGCATATTGATGAGTTGTCTAAGTTATTGTATCAATGATTTGCTAGACTAAGGTTTCGAGCAAGAAGATTTCAAAAAAAAAAAAAAAAAAAGAAGAGTATTCTAGCAAGATGAGAATTTTATATAAGTTGATGTGTGTGTGATGTTTAATATCATGTAACAACCTGATTATAAATACATAATTATGATTCTAGCCTTCTTTTTGGTGGTGTACCTTGCTCTATCGAGGATAAACTTCTGTTATGTCATCAATATTTGAATGAAACTCGTTAGAAGATGATATACTCAATTTTTTATTCAACCCAAATGTAACGTTGGTTGATGGACCAATCAAGGGTGGTTCGGGTTCAGAAAGAGCCACTTTGTGGCCGTTGAGAGCTGAGACAATCGTAGCCATTGTCGGCCTCTTGTTTGCATCTTCTTGAATACAAAGCAAACCAAGGTGAATGCATCTTTTCATTTCATCCGTCGAATAGTTGGTATAAAGTCTAGGATCCACCAAGTCTAAAATTGCATTGTCCTTCCATAGATTCCAAGCCTACAACAAATCATAGATTTGGTCTAAGTTTGAATATTAAGAGGCAAAAACATGTACAAGATTAGAGATAGACTAACACTTTATTTTGTCGTGTAAAATAACTTACTCGTATTAATAGACTGTCTTCATGATAAGGAAAGACGGTTGAACTACACATGTGACCACTTACTACCTCCAAAGTAATTACTCCAAAACTATAGACATCTGACATAACTGAGAAACGCCCCGTCAAGGCATACTCCGGAGCCATATATCCACTGTAGAATAGAGAGTCACCAATAAGAAAAACTTTAGATCGAGATACTAGAGACAATTTGGTATGATTATATGTGTGACGCTTATCAAAAAGAAGCCAAATAATTGAAGGGACAAAAAAATGAATGAGTCAAGTACTTACTATGTTCCAGCAACTTTACTCGTATCAACATGCATTTGTTCCCTTCCAACAAGTCTTGCCAATCCAAAGTCTGATATCTTTGGGTTCATATATTCGTCTAAGAGAATATTGCTGGGTTTTAGATCGCGATGGATAATTTTCAACCTCGAATCTTCATGAAGGTATAAGAGTCCCCGAGCAGTCCCAAGTAAGATCTTGAAGCGGATTTCCCAATCTAGTGATGGATGCTCATTTTGGCCTGCAAATTTTTCAAGGGGGCATTGATGATAATTCTATGTTTCTTTTACTTGCTTAGAAAATTAGAAGTAATAAAAAAGGGATGATGAATATTCATGAGAGTATATACCGAATAGTACTTTGTCAATACTTGCATTAGGCAATAATTCATATACTAGCAACTTTTCTTCTCCATGTATACAAAACCCTAAGAGTTTAACTAAATTATTGTGTTGTAGTTTTGCGGCTAAAAGAATCTCTGTTTTGAACTCTGTACTGCCTTGCCCTGAGCATGTTGACAGCCTTTTCACTGCGATTTCTTGTCCATCTTGAAGCTTTCCCTATCAAAGTGGATACATAAATATAAACAAAAATTTATCACTTCAATCAAAAAATTTATGAGCAAATCGGTGAGATACTCCATCCATTTAATTTTTTGAGTCGGGGCAGGACAGAAATATTAAGGAGGCTAACAAATTAGAAATCGATAAAGTCAATTTATTACCAACTAGAGAGATATCATAAGAGAAAAAGTATATATATGAGAATAGAATGATTATTTTCATTTTTGACAATTATTTTTGATCGAAGGGACTAGTTGTATATACTAATCGTGTTATGGTTGAAGAAGTGTACCTTGTAAACTCTACCAAATCCACCTTGGCCAAGTTTATTATGCTCGGAAAAGTTATCAGTTGCATCTCTTATTGTCTTGAAGTTAAATTGCAATGACTCTACACCAACAATCTCTTCATCTGTAATAATTGGCAAAAAATAAACACATACTTTATATAAAATTAATTTAATTCTTATTGGATGTGCTTGTCGACAAATGATAAATGATGATTATAGAAGATTGCTTGTCGACAAAAATTTGCAAGTAAAATTACCTGGAGAAGGAGTTTTGCGTTTGTGACAGTATACACAAAAACCGGCACTTGAGAGAAGCAAGACTGCTAGAATTAATGGAACACTAATTGCTACAACAATATGTGACGATTTTTTCTTCCTTCCTATAAAATAAATACAAAAATATTGCATCATAAGAAAATTTTCCTCAAATTAATTTAAGCAAAATCTACTTATAATATTTTCGTTATAGGTCTAACCTCGATTTTGGGCATGAGCTTGAGCAGGAGCTGGAGCTAGTACGAGTGGTACATGTTTCAATTGATCGAGTTTCGTATCATAACCCAATTGGCAGCTTGGATAGAAGACTGTCACCCCCTTACTTCTGTTATAATATCCAGATATTTCTGTTATACCAGTACTCAAGCAATTCTTACAATCAAACTCATCTATATCGCGAGTGCACATAGCAAAGCAGTACATCCTATCGATCGATGTCCAATCGACATATGTGTTAGCAAAATGTCCACGAGAAGTGACACTAGCAGCTTGAGTTACCATGTTATTCATTGTTTTTTCCACTAATGGACCAAACTTGTCATAGTTCGAGACAACACCATCATACCATGCCGACCTTGATGGATATGTCTCGCTCAAGGAGAATATGGAACGGTTTGCATACCTTAGCATACATTCGTCGTACCATACAATACCTTCACTATAAAATGGACATACTTGCGTAATTGTTTTTGTTGCATCTTTGATACACTCACTACAAATATCTAAGCCTAGATCCTCTCGACATTGATAGATTGCATAAACTTTGCTTGGAAAATCGCCGATAGTGGTGTTGTAAAACCTCCGAGTAGATGTCTTGGTGGATAGACTCGAAAAAAGGCGATTGAGATTAAGTTGGTAGGCACTTCCGTTGGTGTAATTACCATATTTTGAAGAACACTCGTACACTTCAAAGGTAACCGCTGCATTGACACCAAAATGTTGCAAAAGAGAAGTGTAAACAAACAAGATATTTGGCTAATTGTACTATTACTTAAGGCATGGCATGTCCTAAATTGGGGGTATTCTAAGGCGGCAACCATGACATCATTCCTTGACAGGCTCTATTTATTTCAGCCTTGGTGACATATTAGTATACTATTAGTAGACTTGTGCATTTTATCGTATGTGAAATATTATATCCTTTCCTTTTTTCAGTTGTATTATATTGACTTTTGACACATTATGTACGTACTTCATATTGAAAATCATTAGTTAGGTATTTACGGAAAAAATAAATATATGTAGTTGTGTTAGATTTTGTTAAATTTGTTAAGTCATATATTTTCAAAACACAAATTTTTATATGTAGCTGGCCACACCGTATGGCTGGGGTTATTCGAGTTATTCGGTCAAGGGTTCCTTGAGGGGTTATTCGATCAGGGTCAGGGGTTCCTTGAGGGGTATTTAATAAGGGGTCACAGGTTACTTGAGGGGTTTGATCAGGGATTACTTGAGCGATTACTCAGTCAGGAATAACTCGAGTAATCCCTAACCGAGTATCTCGAGTAACCCCGGCCACATGATGTAACCAGCCACACAGAAAAATCTCCCTTTTCAAAATATTAACATTCAATATTCCGGAGTAATACTTATGTGTAAACAATATTTCTGTCCTAAAATTCCCTACCTACCCCATTACTCCTTGCTTTGGAGTATTTAAAAGATAAGATATCCGGGTCAATAACAACTAGTTGGACTCGTTCAAACATTTTTTTAGAGAGGGACCATTAACGCCTCTTAAATACTTTCTATTTACAACTATATATGTCGCCCCACAGTCATAAATCCCCCGTTTCCTTATCAATTATCGTTGATATTCCCTTCTTGTCTACAAGATTACCTTACTAATTTGTTTTCTCCAATGGGTTCGTAAAAAGTTGCATTATTTCATTTTCATTAAAAATGACCCCAACACTACCTCTCTACTTTAGTTTCCTACCCCACATGATTGCAAATACACTAAAAAAAAATATTTACCTACTCATTCAATACAATTCTTAAAAAACTCGGGAAAAAAAACATAGAGCAATCTTTTAGAGCCTTACTTGGAGCCGGATTTGGAGGTTGACCGGGAGCTTGAGCTTGATCTGGAGTCAGTGGTACATGCGTCATCTGATTAATCGCGGTATCATAACCTAATTGGCAGCTCGGAAAGAAGCTCGTCACCCCCTTACTTTCGTTATAATATGTAGATAACTTTTTCGAAGCAATCGATAAGCAATTCTTACAGTCGAGCTCATTTATATCGGGGGTGCACATAGCGAAGTTGTACACTCTATGGATCGATGTATAATTGGCATACATGCTAGCAAAATGTCCCCGAGCACTAGTACGAGCAGCTTGACTAATAATGGTCTTCGTCGTCTTCTCTATCACTGGGACAAATTCCTCGTAGTTTGAGACAGTATCCGTATACCACGCGTCATCAGATGGAGATGTCTCGCTCAAAGAGAATATGGAACGGTTTGCATACCGTAACATACATTCATCGTACCACACGATACTTTCGACATATAAAGGGCACACTTCTGTAATTTTTTGCGTTGCATCATCGATACATTGGTTGCATACCTCTAGGGTAAAATCTTCTCGACATTGATAAATTCCATACACTTTGTTAGGAAACTCACCACTAGTGGTGTTATAAAATCGACGAGATAGAGTTTGAGAGGAGAGGTTCGAAAAAAGATGATTAAGGTTTTGATGGTATACACTTCCTTGGGTGTAATTACCATAACTGGAAGAACACCAATTATACTCAAAGACAACCACCGCATAAACACTATAAAGTTGGGAAAGAACACCCAAGATTAAGGTCGAAAGAAAAAGTTGCCTCTTCATATACATATTAGAATGAATAAGCTATTGGTAGGGAAGTAAATGAACAAAATTGTGTATTCGAATAAATATATTGAGTACATTTGAAAGTTGTAATGATACAATAACTCATATAAAGTTAGGTTAGGTGTTAAACGTCATTGCCTTAAAGTTGATAGTGACAATGAGTGTATATTATATGGTCCTCTTGGGATTAAAATCTTCCTTCAGTGTGACCATTAATTTGAAAATCTCCGAAGTAATAGAATATAATAATATACACGGAGTAAATAAAGTTTGTGCGGGAAAATAATATGTACTCCCTCCATTTCTAAATAAAACATTATTTTAGGTGGGATTCATCAATTATTATTATAAAATTTTAAAGCATCATAACCTTTAATTTCCTTTTCCCACAGATTTGCTCATTAAGTGTTTCCATATAAGCAAATGAGTAGAAAATATAAATACATAGATTTAATTATAAGGTATAACGGATTGTACATCCAAAACTGTTTTTGCTAGCAAGTCAAGTGTTGAAAAGTCTATGCTAATGTATGGTATATATAGGAAAAATAGGGAAAATATTGTGTGAACTGATGAATTTATATTAGGGGAAATATATGGACTATCATAGTTCGATTATATTGTTATAATGTCTATATCAGTATTCACCAAAATAAATTATCTACAAAAAAATTTAATTTATAAGAAAAAAAAAAAAAAAGTAATGTCTATCAGTCCACTAACTACACCACATGAATTTGACTTTTTTGTTCTCCCGTTCAGATTAGCATATGACAGAATTGTGGAATGTGATGTAAATATGACGATAACAAACTGAAGTAAAAGGCTAAACATGATTCAATTGGATCATGAAATTATAATGTCTTCTTAATATTAATACTCGTAGTTTTCTCATTAGTTTTTCTTAAACTTGTGTAGCGTAGACTTGGCAGTTCCAAGGTAAAGTCACATAATAATCCCTTTTTTTTTCCACATTGAGACTTAAAAAGTTTATCATTGTGATTTAAGTGAAACATTTTTCATAGAGGGAAAAATATACAGTATTCTACAAAATATATCCCTTACTCTACCGAGGATAAACTTCTGTTATGTTATCACTATTTGAAAGAAATTCACCAGAAGATGATACACCCAAATGCTGGTGTGAGCCAAATGTAATGTTGGTTGATGGACCAATCAAAGGTGGTTCCGGTTCTGAGAGAGCTACTTGGTGGCCATTGAGTGCCGACACAATCGTAGCCATTGTTGGCCTCTTGTTTGAATCTTCTTGTATACAAAGCAAGCTAATATGGATGCATCGTTCCATTTTGTGGCCCGGAAATTTTCCGTAAAGTCTAGGATCTACCAAGTCCAATGTTGAGTTGCTCTTCCATAAACTCCATGCCTAAATTAAACATTATAATTTTGAAGTTTAGATGGAATTTATGAGGCGAAAATAAATATAAGGCAAAATAGGAAGTTGAGTATGTAGTGAACTTACTCGTAGAGGTAGACTTTCATCATGATAGGGAAAGGCAATTGAGCTACACATATGACCACTTATTATCTCCAGTGCTATTATTCCGAAGCTATAGACGTCTGACATGACCGAGAAACGCCCCGTTAATGCATACTCAGGAGCCATATATCCACTGTCATTAGTGTCATACAAGAATGTTAAAAATTATAATGATCGATTTAAGATAAAACTTGTACATATATTAAGGAATCTATTATGTAATGTACTTACTATGTTCCAGCGATTTTACTCGTGTCAGCGTGAATTTGATCCCTTCCAACAAGTCTTGCTAATCCAAAATCTGCAATCTTTGGGTTCATGGTTTCATCTAAAAGAATATTGCTAGATTTTAGATCTCGATGAATAATCTTCAGCCTTGAATCTTCATGGAGGTATAATAGTCCCCTGGCCGTTCCAAGTAAGATCTTGTACCGGGTTTCCCAATCTAGTGACACTTTATTTTGGCCTACAATAGATATAGAACATGTTATACAATAGAAGATTTTAATTTACAAATTAGCTAGCTAGGATGAAGTTGATAGTTTAGTTCATGAGATTATACCGAATAAGACTTTGTCGAGACTTGCATTAGGCAGTAATTCATAGATAAGTAACTTCTCTTCTCCATGTAAGCTAAATCCTAAGAGTTTAGCCAGATTATTATGTTGGAGCTTTGCTGCTAGAAGAATCTCTGTCTTGAACTCTGATATGCCTTGTCCGGAATATATTGACAACCTTTTCACTGCTATTTCTTGCTCATCTTGAAGTTTTCCCTACCAAGGCGGCGATATGAAACAAACATCATATATTCGTGAATTTGATTGAAACACGTATCAAAGAATGATATACTCCCTCAAGCAAAGTTCAACTTAGCATTGAGTTCGAGCATAAAGATTAATAATAAGGTAACAAAACTGTCAAGTGTGATTAAAAAAAAATATGGTTCCTAATGAATTTTTTTTAAAACATAGATGATTTGAAACAAAAATAAAGAATTGCTTACGAATAATCAAATACGAAATATGTTGATGGTTAAAGACTTAAAGTTATACGTTAGCAAACATATCCAAATTAACGGATAAGGCATTGTGGGAAGGAAGGAGTTATGGCGGTAGAATTTTACCTTATAAACCACACCAAATCCACCTTGTCCAAGTTTATTACTTGGAGAAAAGTTATCTGTTGCGGCTTTAATCGCCTTGAACTCAAATTGTAATGACTCTAGTCCAGCAATATCTTCCATATCTGTAATAATAAGTAGAAAGACATGGAATAATCTGCAAGTTAAATTACCTGAAGATGTTTCAAAAAAAAAAAAAAAATGAAAATTACCTGAAGATGGTTTTGAGTGCTTACGACGATAGATACAAAACCAAGCACTGGAGAAAAGCAAGATTGCTACAACTATTGGTACACAAACTGCTACGACAATATGTGAAGATCTTTTCTTCCTTCCTGTATAGTAAAATAATATGAAATTTTTAATTTGGTGAAGCAAAATCTGATAAACAAATGAAAATTTTCATATATGATAAACAAAACATCAAACGTATTAGAGCAAGTATACTAGGAGTATACTCGTTATCATACTATTGTACATGTTATCGCTATAATAGGTCGTACTCGTACGTAAATTTAATCAACTTTTACCGGCTGGAGTCTTTATCTTTGTGTGTGGTGGGTGTGTCGCCGAGGATGAGTTGAAAAACGGGTAGGTTATTGCTGAAGAGTTATAAAAAGGAGCAGTGTGATACCAAACAATACAACTAGGCAACAAGACGCGAGCACTGGCGCTAATATTTGCAAGCCTCCCTATAGCAATCGTTAAGCAGAGATGGCAATCCTTGGTGGTAATTTCAGGCACACACTGTGTCATCTCATATAAGCTCCCAAATCCCGTTATATTAATCACTCTCATTTTAAACCTCGCCTTTGGAGACGAGTTATCAGCTGTCGATATAGCCAAATCATACATGCTCTTCCGCATATATTTCTCGAAATGGACCACTTGATCTCTAGTACTATTTTGCGGCATTGATATTGCTATCCAGGGAGATACATCCATTCTGCCAAAAAACGAGTACTTGGAATAACGGATCATACAATTTTCGTACCAAATAATAGCCTCAGTTTGGTAGGGGCACGCTTTGAGTATTTGATCTTTGGCTTCATTTATACAAGCATTACAACTTCGAGCAGTTTGGTCAAACCGACAAATGTATATAGCATACACACGATTGGGGGTTTGACCAAGGGAAGAGTTATAATAAGCCGCGCTTGAGGCATGGGAAGTAAAAGTTCCTAGCAAATTATATAGGTTGTATAGGTACGAAGGTGAGGCTCTATTACTGTCAAGTGTCGACGAAGCTGCACTGCCTGTGCAATTGTAGCCAATATAGAGCGCGTTGTGTGTTGTAGCAATAGCAATTGGAAAAGGTAGGATTGTAAGCAATAATATATATACTCTAGCCATTTTATATGTGTACTAAAAAATGGGTCTACGAATAATTGAAATTGCAAGTGTTAGAAGATGAAGGCGACACCAAATCTTATATTGTTGTCATCTTCATTATTCTTTTTAGTCTCGTTGTCAATTCAATAGAAACCAAGTAATTAATATACGTGACGCGTCGCTCGCTAACCTCCTAGTTGTTGTCATCGATCGATCAACTTGGCCGCCTTCGAGATGGACAATCTCTAGAACGTGCGTAGATACTTTCTTGGACAGTTTCGAGGCCTAAATAAGGAAACAAGGCTTAATTGCCAAACTTGACCGCTTCGAAGTTTATAACTATTATACATCCAAATATCTACTCGTAATGCATATAAAAACCCTTGACAATTTGATGACACAGTCTGATTTCTATTTTATATAAATACAATTTTTCAGGATTTACAAGATTCCTGTTTTGTGTGACATTTATTGTCAAAAATCAAGAAGTCAACCTTATATATCCTTTGAATTATTGTACCAGAAACTCAGAAAGTGGTTGGAAATAATGAAAGTAAATCAATGGGACAAATATGTTGCCGCTTGGATATAAATCATATAATTTCCAAAGTTACTGTTTGAAAATAAGAAAAAAATTAACATAAAAAGTTAATGGGAATAATTTATTTATACAAGGGGAGTGAATTGAAAAACAAAAAAAAAAGAAATTAAAAAAAAACCACCTTAGCAGTTGATAGATCGAAACATGGCTTTTATTTACTTGATGAAGAGAAGAAGGAATATAGTTCTACACAAAAATTCTCCAAAAAGACGGGTTTACATTAATTTATTGTAAATCGGGTTAAGTTATCAAAAAGGTATTTAAAATTACCCTTTATACTACAAAAGTTATTATTTTTCTAATAATAATTTTATCTTACAAAAAAAACTTATAATGTATTAGATTAATCATATTAGCCTTTATATGTAATTATGAATCTGTAAGAAATTATACATTAAAAAAAATTCAAACCAACGACAAATTAAAAATTACCCTTTAAGTGGTTAAAGTTACCACAAAAATAATTAAAGTTACCCTCAAACTGACCATTTTATGATAAAATTAATGTACATTGTGAACTTATAATGATAGATATTTGAACATGTATATGTTTTTGTTGAACATTTGAGTTAGGTCGATATATGAAAATAAGTTAGTTTGGGTTAAGGAATTACGAACCTCAATTGAAATTTGATATATAAGATGAACATTTATTATATTCCAAATGAAAATTTAGTACATAATTTGATATAATGTACTGTTATGAACATTATTTAGTTTAAATCGTTATTTATATAGGTGCACCACGTCTATAATATGAAAATTTAGTTTAAAACGTTATTTATATAAAAGGTGTTCATATCTTTTTATTAAATGTTCATATTATAGACATGATGCACCTATTTCTAGGTGCACAATGGTGCATATAATAACTATTGCTTTTAGAGTTCTATTGTTAGTGGGATTGTGGGCTTATTTCCTATACAAGAGAAGAGTAGTACGTAAGATAGGGGGAGGGTTAGATAGATTAATTCTTTTAGTCTTTAGTTTTGTTTTCCCGCAGCTTTCGATTAGATCTTTTTGTTATTAGCTTTTAATCTTGTTAAGTTTTTCTTTAGATTGTTTAAGTGGGATTTCATAATTTATTGTTTTGAGTTGACTTTAGTTTTTTTAGTTTCCAGATTTTACGCGACTTTTTGTTAGTTTTCATAATTTAGCTTTATTTAGTTTTCTTCCAATTCATTAGCTTTCGGTGACTGTAGTTTCGTTATTTTTAGGATTAATGTTTGCTTCTTTGTTTTGACTATAGTTTAATTTAATTGCTTTCATATTAGTTTTATTATTATTGTTTTAATTATGCTTAATTTAATTATTTTGATTAGTTTAATTTCAATTATGTACGAGTAGTTTTCTATCTAGGGTCTTGTGGGATCCGTAAATAATATGAAGGGATGATTTATTATTGTTGATTGTTGGTGTTTTGAACTAATTTCCTATTGATTGATATAATGCTATACAATTAGATTACCGCTAGTTTAATTGTATGAGTTACGCAATATTGATCCGAGATTCGACAGATGAGAATTGGTATTAAGGCTTAGTTTCAATAAGCAGATTAATTTATAAATGGTTAAGTCAAGATTCGAGATATGCGATTTAATACCGTTAAATTAATTATGTGATTGTAATACGTAGCAAAAGCCCTTTATAATATGGTTAATTCATGCATTGATAATTGATTATTGTTGTCTTTCATCCCGGGGTATTATTTATTGGTGAACCTATGCCCTAGGCTTTTATTTAATTGATATTCTCTTAGTCTTATTTGCTTAGTTTAGTTAGTTCTCTTAAAGTAATTTACATATAAAATCATATTTGGTACTTGGTAATTTAGATTATAATAATTTATTAGAAATAAAAGAACATTGTTTCTCTGTGGATTCGACCCTACTTCCCTATCTATTTAAGTGGTTTTAGGGATTACTTTTGCCTTCACGGTGCTACAATACCCTGTGAATTGCTTGAGATGCGCAATGGGATCCTCATGTTTTGCCTAGCTCGGAGAATTGGTGACCCTCTATCAAGGTGATAAGGGCGGGCCTTATCTCAAAATTATTTGCTTCGGTAATGGGAGTAGCAATCCCACCTGCTTCTTGATAAGGTGGAGGAACACCAAACCCTCTTAAGGTTTTGTTTGGAAGAGCCATTTGAAATTGATGGAGAGGTGAAGAAGTTGGGGAATTATCCCTTGGTGATTCTAGTGGAGTGGAGTATCCACTATAGTCACTAGAACTAGAATGATCGGATTCAACTACTACTTGCAGTTCGCTTGAAATAGCAATACTTGCTTTCTCCTTCTTTTCTCTTCGATTCGCCCTTACAACCTTTTCGAGCTCAAGATTCAACGGCACAAGATGTAGTGCTCTTGCTGCATTTGGGCATAAAACAAAGAGAATTAGATGGGAGATTAGTAGATTAGTCGAAGAAAACAAAGAAAAATAAAGCTATGAAAATGAACTAGTCTCACATATTTCATAAGTAACTCAATGCTCTACGCTATTCCCCGGCAACGGTGCCCTTTTTGGTAGAGGGAAAATTCGGTCTTTGGACGAACACCCTAAAGCAAAACACTATTTCTACCTAAACAAACCTAAGACAAGTCTAGGGCAAGTAAAGGATCGTATCCAAAGGGAATATAATGGGTATGAGTACACCAAGAATATGAAACAGTTGTAAGCTAGCTCGGTCACAATATTGGGGTTTTGATTAATTAATTACTATGGAGATAAACACTAGGGGGAAATGGGAATCGACACCAACCAAACCAATAGATCATACAATAGACAAACATGAACACGAGTTGGGTGATAGAAAGGGGCACTCAACATTGTCTTCTTTCGAACTCACAACACTAAGCATTCCTAAACCAAACTCAACTAACACGATAGGCCAACCAAGTTCAACGATGGGAAGTAGACTACAAACTCGAATTTGTCTTTCAATCAGTACGAGAAAGCAATAAGGCACAAGTAATTGGGAAATCTAACCTAATTATTGCAACTAAGAGTACATCATCTAAATAAGGAACGGTACAATTATACAAGAGAAGGCTCACAATTAGACCCCATCTTTCAATGCAAGCATAGAAGTGAATACATGAACAATAAGTGGCCATCCAATTACACATGAAATTAACCAATCCTTTAACAATCGATTATGTAATACCCCGTATTTTTTAAACGTATTTTCTAATTAATTAATTAATTAATTATTATTTTCTAAATAGTGTATTTTAGTAATTTATTTTACTATTTAAATTTTGGAGCCAAAATGATATTTGAATTTTGGCGCCAAAAGTATTTTAAAACTTAATTATTTTTGGATTTTAAATTATCCATTTATTTTATTTTAAAAATCGAATTATTTATACATATTTCAGATATTTTAATTAAGCAAAATTTATATTTTCTTATTTAATTTAAAAGGGCCGAATTTTCCTAATTAATTAGCTAGGATTTTCGGATTTTCTACGTGTAGAAAATCTAATTTTCTTATTTAAATTAATTAGTGAATAATTAGTATTTTTCTAATTAATTATTTTATACAAAATATATTATTTACACAATCATTTTTATTCCTTAAAAACTAGCAAAATAATTGCCTAAATATTAAAAGGGAGGTTCAAAAATATGAGCTTAGGAAAGCTCAAATTTTCGGCCACTATATTGTATTTTGAGAAAAATTATTTTGGTAATTTTTGTATTTTAATTATCTTCCTAAATTCTATTATTTTCCTTAATTCTTATTTTCCATCTCCTAAATATTTGATTATCTTATTTCCCTACCTTAAATCATTCTTTATTATTTCCCAAACAAAGCCATTTACCATTTAATATTTCATTACTACATACTTATCTTATTTCTTCATTACTTAATCACCATAATCTAGACTTTCCATAATTCTTTAGCTCTCTTCTCCAAGTAATTTTCTTAAACCAATTTACCATAATTCTTCCTACATTCTCCTACCATAATTCTTGCATGAGCTAGCCTATAAATACCCCCTCATACCTCTCACATTCTTCACACCAAAAACTCAATTCTCTTCTTCTCTCTTACTCTTCTTTTCCCTCAACATTTTCCTACTTTTCTTCTCCTCTTTTCAAAAAGAAAATCAGCCCGTATATCTTTAGAGCCAATTTTCGGGCACTTCTGGTCAGTTTTAGGGTTTTTCTATTGCACGGAAATTGTTCCTCTCTAAAAATCTTTAAGGTTAGGCTCAAGAATCACCCAATTCGGAGTTATATCGAAGGAGTAATGGCCTCTGCAAGTTCTGCCTATTCTTTCCAACGCAAATCCATTCTCTTTAATCCTATTCCTTTATTTTTTTCATGGTTAGTTTTCTAAAATATAAATACCTATTTCAAAGCTATAAATTTATATTAAAGTATTATTTTTATAAAGAGTTTTATAGTCCATGCACATTAGATTTGGGTTTATGTCTAAAGATGTTGTGATAACCTTATGGTTATGTTAATTGCAAGGTGTATTCGTGATTAAACTTTGAAAGTGCGAAATGTTGATTGAGATACGGAATCAAGGTATGTTTAGGTGGCTAGATACCTTCGAAAGTAATTGGTTTGAATAGCATGTTTTATATGATTTTATTGGTGATTGAATTAAATTGATTTGAATTATGATTTATGAAATAAAGTATGGTTGGATGAATTGATTTTAATATTTGTTTTAATAGATGTATTTTTGAGGGATTGATTTTAATATCATGTTTTGAATGGTTTGAAATTATTTATTATGTTTAAAGGAACTTGGTTTTAAAAAGTATGTTGGATTGTTTTAAAGAGTTTTTAAACGGGTTTGATTTTAAAAGCTTATTAAATTAAATACAAAAGGAGTTTTTGAGTTATTCTATTATATAAAGGTTGATTTTATTCAAAAAGGAGTTCATGAGAATTATTGAAGTATTTATAAAAGCTTTACAAGCATGACTATTATATTAATCCCACTATGCGGATTCATTGAACACTATGGACTTTGTATGACCTAGTCTTTCTCCAAGAATAGCCTTGAAATAGTAGGAGACTAGTTTGGGGGGTGTGCACACTTAGAGCAGAGGTTGAGTTTTCGAAAATAATTGATTTTATTAATCATTATTATTGAGTTATTGGAATTATTTTGAGGATATTTGAGAATTGGTTTTCAAAAAAGGAATTGGTTTATAAATCGTTTCATCGAATTATTGAATTATTGAGAATTGATTTGAAAACATGAGTTTTGGAGTTCATTGGATTAATTATTGGAATTGGTTTAAAAGCATGTTTGCAAATAAATTGAATTTACTTATCTTGCACTTATCGTACTTAGCATATTTTGCTAATCCGTATTTCTTATTTGTTTTGGTTCGCCCTGTTTACCTTAATGGTAAGCAATGTTGACTATTTTCAGGTGGAGTCAATAATTGAGCATATGGGAGTCCCGGGAATATTTTTCACCTAGAATTAGGATTGTTGGTTGTTTAATTATGAGTACTCATGACAATAGTTTCTATTTGTAGTTATTATTAATAAAGAAAAAGTTTGAATTTCCGCTGCAAAGTATTGGTTTTGGTTAGTAGTTTGAGTAGCCTTGCATAATCACGCGGCGGTAATACGCCTAAGTCTATCTCTAGGTATAATCATACGTATTATACTAGTATTTCCGTAGAGGGAGATTTGGGGATGTTATAGATTATCAACCCAAAGTGAACATGCAAGCACAAAAATTAATCAACCCATGGCTTGGTTGGGTCTTCACCAACCACTAGTTAAGAAATTACATACTCACTAATCATGGTGTTCAACATCCTACACAATAATTAAATTCAACATTAATCTAACAAAGGGGGAGAAGTGGTATGAACAAGGTGGATTGAACATGCAACAACAATTAAACAAGGTTAGAGAGAAATTAGCAATGAAAAGCAATTAAAAACAGAAAATAAAGAGTAAGAGATAGAGGAAAGAGATTACTTATGAAGCTTCAAAGTTGAGGAATTGTTCAAATTAAGAACACAAACTTCAATTAATCTACTACAATGATTAAGTTTTGAGAGAAACTAAGCTAATTCATGAGAGTTTAGAGAACTAACTAAGAGATAAGGGCATAAGGAAGCTAAAGGGAAGAAGATGAAGTCCACAAATGAAGCCAATGGGGTATTATATAACCCCCAAGTAAAAGGACGGAGAAAACGGCTCATCTAAAGGTCTTCACGGACGTGCCAAAGGTTGCACAGACGTGTAGATCTGTTAAAATAAGCACTAGTAGAAAAATTGAAAAAGGCACCCCCCCTTTTGCCACCGGTTCTTAAAAACCGATTTGAAATCCTAATTGTTTTTGTTAAAAAAAAAAAGGAAGAAAAAAGATTTGCCACTGGTTCAACACAAACCGGTGTTTAAAAAAAAATCGGTTTAATTGAAAAAAAAAAACGGGTTCAGCTTCTTCTTTCTTTCTTTCCCCCTGCCTTTTCATTTTCAGTTTTCCCTCCATCTAGCTTCACCCTTCTCTTAGCTTCACCACCTCTTTTTTTCGCCATTCTCCATATTTCTCCTCCATTAGGCGTGCTCGTAGTTCTCCATTGAAGCGCATTTTGAGCTTTGTCCATATCACTCCTGCATTACGCGTACTCTCAATTCTCCATTGAAGCGGGTTCGAGCTTTCTCACCTCCATTGAAGCAACTTCGAGGTAAGAATTTGTTTTGTCCTTTTTAGATTATTGATTTCAGTTTTCGCAATCTAGGGTTTGTCGTTGATTTGATTTCGAGTTCAGTATATAGTATATGGTGGTGGGGGGTGAGGGTGGTAATTGCGGTGGCTGGCTAGGCGAATAGAGTTGGCTGGTGGATGTTGATAATTGGTGGCCGAAAGTTCTTTTTTCATAATTGCATGTGTATATGTGCGTTGTTGTATATGGCTCATTAGCTGGCTGCTTTGGCCATTCGTATGGCTGCTGAACAGAGTGGTTTTTTTGGTGGTTTGTAGTTAGGTAGCTCATTAGGTAGCTCACGAGTTTTCCAGGAGTTAGGTAATTTGAGGTTGAGCCTTTGGGTAGCATGGCTCAGAAATTGGTGGGCTATACAGAGGCAGCAGTGAAAGAAGGAAATGGTAAGGATTGTTGAGTACGAACATTGTGGTTGATGGCTGTACCCAGGAAGATGTTAAATGGAGATAGATTGTTACCCTTACCAGTATTAGAGCTGTGATGCTATCTCTGTCAATGGCGAACCCAACTTTCTTTTCTTTCTGGACATCAAGTAAAACATCTATAAAGTCCTTAGCCATCTCATCATTTTTGCTCTCTTCACCCTTTTTGCTGTGTCCTTGACCATCCTGGTGCTAGTGCTCTGTCAGCTTCATTGCTGTTGATATTATCTTTTCTTTATTGGCTAAAACACCATATTTTTAATTTTAATGGCAGGTGAAAGGAGAGCCAAATATATCTTATATATGCTCCAAATACTATCGTGCACCAGAACTGATATTTGGAGCAACTGAGTACATAACAGCAACTGACATTTGGTCTGCTGGCTGTGTTCTTGCTGAGCTGCTGCTTGGACAAGTATGTTTTTGACTTTAATGGTTTGAGTTGAGTTCGCGAGACTATGTTGCTTCATACATCATAACCGTGGTCTATGTATGCTTGCTTTTACAGCCTTTATTCCCCGGTGAGAGTGGAGTTGATCAGCTTGTGGAGATTATTAAGGTGATTGCCATAATCCTCAATCTTCTGTGATGAGTTTCCTTGATTCTTTATGTAAAAATGCTTGAATTTTTTTGATGTGATTGCCATCAAAATGCTCACCAATTAAGTAGGATTTCAGGCATTGCATATTGGATGGTTGTGGCTTGAATTTGCTTGCTAATAAGAGTAAATACAGAAAGATACTAGCATTTTTATTCACTTGTGGCTTGAATTTGCTTCCCACTTTCTTTTGTGGTAGAACATGGGAGTGAGTGAGACTTTTAGATGAGAAATCTGTCAAAGATTATACAAGATATAAGAACTCCCGCAAAACTTTTAGCACTGAAAACAAATCCCAGGATTCTTTTTAAACAGGATAAGCCAATTTACCCTCAATTTTTTCAGATCGAGGACTCAGACAGTATGCTGATGTTTATTTACAATTAATGTAATTGCCAGTTCAGTCCATTTTAAGGCTATATAAGCCAGTAAAAGGTGTGACTGCAGGCATATGAATGAATTACAAAGCTCATTAATGCTCCAAATTCTCCTATTAAGTTTACTTAATTAAGTTAAACCTCGAGAGTTCCCTACTTTTATTACTGGATTATTTCCTGAATTAGCTTTGCTTGATCTACATTTGCATCCTAGGAATCAGGTAAACTGAGCTGCTAGTGTAGCTGTTTCAGTTAGCAGGGGAGTGAATAGTAACTACAAACTAATAGTAACTGTATTAGAAACATCAGAAACATCAGAAACATCAGATTTTCCGTTTGTATGAGTATCGATATCAATGCTTTTCCTCTGATTTTCAACCATTGTACTCTCTTCTGAGACCTCAACTATCGGACTTAAATGCTTTATGTGCTGTGATACTATGGCTTGTGCTTCAGCCACCACAGATGTTTCATCATCCGTAGCATATAATATCTTTTGCATTGCTGCCACAATCTAAGAAACGAAAACATAGTAGAAAATCTCAGATTGCAGTCCTTATAACACACCATCAAATTTCTTTGATTCAAAACACAACCAAAAAAAGCATATACAAGTGGGTTTATAAGGCATATACAAGTGAGTTCTCGATCTCTGGTGTTTGACATAAAATTTCAATGTCTCTCAACTTTGAGAAATAAAAATCGCGCTCTTTCTCAAGACTGTCAACTGATAACTTCAGCTCTGTAATCTGCTTCATCAGTCTCAAATTAGATTCATGAACTATATGAAGTCAAAGTGCACAAATCTCAATACCATAATGGCTTACCTGTTCTTCATACACAGATACAGCAGTAGTAGAGCTGGGTTTGGCAGCTCTAAGAGACTGGTTATTAGTGTTAGTAGAACACATATCAGCTCTCCTGTTGCTGTGAGATGAATGAGATTTGTTGCTAGAAGTGTTCGGTTTCGCAGAAACTTGAAGGTTTGCTGATTTCCTGACCACTTCTTTCCCACTTTTCCTGCCTTCTCTCCTTTCCACAGGATTGTAATTATCATTCACAAAGATAATCAACAATTTTGCATTATCAACAAGAATTTCTTTCAGTCTTCTAGAATGTAAAAAAGAATCAGAAACAATCCAAACATACATAGCATGCATCCCTTAAAAATAGGCCAAATTTGAAGTTTATTAAAGGAGAAAATAAGAGAATAAAAGGAAAATTAAAAAACAAGAAGTAAACTACAAACTAATAGTAACTACAAAATAAACTAGAAACATGCCGAAATAAAGAAATAAAATAGGAACTTTATCAAAGGAGAAAATAAGAGAATGAAAGGAAAATTAAAAAAAAAACTAGTGCTTAGCAATTGTTAGTTACTAACTTTTGTTTTTTCTTTTTAATTTTTGTATGTAATCTGATGTTCTTTCACACTAAATGCAGAAAGCAAGCTTAGCTTGACAGTGCTTCCTCAAAAATTTAAAAAAACTAGTGATTAGCAATTGTTAGTTTGGTCAATGATGCGTTATTCTTTAGCAATGTATGTAGGTATTAATTACTTACTAACTTTTGTTTTTTCTTTTTAATTTTTTTATAGATTCATATGTGAATTGAAGCACAAGTTTAGCTTGAAGACTACAAATTTAGCTCAATTGTGGTATGAATTAAAAACTTAGTCTATGTTTCTTTTTCTTGATTCATGATGAAAGTTTTCTCATGCCATTACAACTTGTGTATTGTTTAATGACAAATTAATACAAAAATATATAAATGCTTGCATCATCATATGCCTAGATACCCGTTCAAGGCTTTCTCATTAGGAGAAAGTCTTGAATAGTCCCCGGTTGGGACTGTTCTTGAACGTTTACTCTCACTTAGGTGGTGAATGTATGTCTTCTTTTTTCGATTTTAAGGAACATCTTGGCTTAACATTTCCTCGATCACCATGTTCTATGGGTACATATGTGGGTAAGTTATTACCTACATCGTGTACTTCGAGAACTGGGGGGAAATGCTGCCGGATTTTCCTTAAAATTGGAAAGTCGACATACATTCACTAGTGAGAGTAAACGTTCAAGGATGGGTTAGGATGGAGCGATAAGGACCCTTTGGAAGCATATATGAATTATTGTATCTATATGAATGTTATATGCATGGTGTGTGTTTGAATTTGATTTACATATATAATTTAGAACCATTCAAATGCTCTTTTAATGTAATTTCAAGGCTTAGATGCCTCTAACTAGGTAATAATGACATGTTAAGAGGAAGGATGATCTAATTTGATTAAAAATATAGAAGATAGGCATACAAGTAGTGATATAGGCCTTATTCGGGCCATTTAGGTTGAAAATGCGTCTTAAAACACTTGACTTGTTCTTTTAATGTGATTTCAAGTCTTAGCTGCCTCTAAATAGGTAATAATGACATGTTAAGAGGAAGAATGAGATAATTTGATTAAAAATATAGAAGATAGGCATACAAGTAGTGATATAAGCCTTATTTCGGCCATTTTGAATGAAATTGCGTCGAAAAACCATTCAAATGCTCTTTTAATGTGATTTCAAGCATTAGCTGCCTCTAAATAGGTAATAATGACATGTTAAGAGGAAGAATGAGCTAATTTGATTAAAAATATAGAAGATAGGCATACAAGTAGTGATATAGGCCTTATTCGGGCCATTTAGGTTGAAAATGCGTCTTAAAACACTTGACTTGTTCTTTTAATGTGATTTCAAGTCTTAGCTGCCTCTAAATAGGTAATAATGACATGTTAAAAGGAAGAATGAGATAATTTGATTAAAAATATAGAAGATAGGCATACAAGTAGTGATATAAGCCTTATTTCGGCCATTTTGAATGAAATTGCGACGAAAAACCATTCAAATGCTCTTTTAATGTGATTTCAAGCATTAGCTGCCTCTAAATAGGTAATAATGACATGTTAAAAGGAAGAATGAGCTAATTTGATTAAAAATATAGAAGATAGGCATACAAGTAGTGATTTAGGCCTTATTTCGGCCATTTTGAATGAAATTGCGTCCAAAAACCATTCAAATGCTCTTTTAATGTGATTTCAAGGCTTAGCTACCTCTAAATAGGTAATAATGACATGTTAAGAGGAAGAATGAGCTAATTTGATTAAAAATATAGAAGATAGGCATACAAGTAGTGATATAGGCCTTATTCGGGCCATTTAGGTTGAAAATGCGTCTTAAAACACTTGACTTGTTCTTTTAATGTGATTTCAAGTCTTAGCTGCCTATAACTAGGTAATAATGATATGTTAATAGGAAGAATGAGCTAATTTGATTGAAAATATAGAAGATAGGCATACAAGTAGTGATATAGGCCTTATTTCGGCCATTTTGAATGAAATTGCGTCCAAAAACCATTCAAATGCTCTTTTAATGTGATTTCAAGCATTAGCTGCCTCTAAATAGGTAATAATGACATGTTAAAAGGAAGAATGAGCTAATTTGATTAAAAATATAGAAGATAGGCATACAAGTAGTGATTTAGGCCTTATTTCGGCCATTTTGAATGAAATTGCGTCCAAAAACCATTCAAATGCTCTTTTAATGTGATTTCAAGGCTTAGATGCCTCTAACTAGGTAATAATGACATGTTAAGAGGAAGAATGATCTAATTTGATTAAAAATATAGAAGATAGGCATACAAGTAGTGATATAGGCCTTATTCGGGCCATTTAGGTTGAAAATGCGTCTTAAAACACTTGACTTGTTCTTTTAATGTGATTTCAAGTCTTAGCTGCCTCTAAATAGGTAATAATGACATGTTAAGAGGAAGAATGAGATAATTTGATTAAAAATATAGAAGATAGGCATACAAGTAGTGATATAAGCCTTATTTCGGCCATTTTGAATGAAATTGCGTCGAAAAACCATTCAAATGCTCTTTTAATGTGATTTCAAGCATTAGCTGCCTCTAAATAGGTAATAATGACATGTTAAAAGGAAGAATGAGCTAATTTGATTAAAAATATAGAAGATAGGCATACAAGTAGTGATTTAGGCCTTATTTCGGCCATTTTGAATGAAATTGCGTCCAAAAACCATTCAAATGCTCTTTTAATGTGATTTCAAGGCTTAGATGCCTCTAACTAGGTAATAATGACATGTTAAGAGGAAGAATGAGCTAATTTAATTAAAAATATAGAAGATAGGCATACAAGTAGTGATATAGGCCTTATTTCGGCCATTTTGAATGAAAATGCGTCTTAAAACACTTGACTTGTTCTTTTAATGTGATTTCAAGCCTTAGCTGCCTCTAACTAGGTAATATTGACATTTATGAGGAAGAATGAGTTGATTTGGCAATAAATGTAGAAAATAGGTGAAGTAGTAGTCATATACGCCTATGTATTAAATTTTTGTCTAACTTAAATTGTAAATGTATTTTTACATACATAACCTAAGTAATTAATTCTAGCTAACATCATTTTTGCTTAACCAAGTTTTGCAAGGTATAGAAAGGAGGTCCATTGACGAGTAAAGAGCTGAATGAAGTTCGAGACATGTTAGCGTCTTTCATCACATATAATTTAATTTGAACTTGTTAACTTATACATTAATTATTAGTATAGATTGTAAATATAACACCTTTTAATTAATGAGTTGTAAAAGCTATATGACATTTCATTGTATCGCATTTTACGGTTATTAATTAATATTTATGTATTGTTGTTATTATTCCAATGTAAAAATTATTATATATTATTAGTATTTTTAATAATAATAATAATACGGGTAATAATAATTATTATGATTACTGTTATTATAATATATTTTAATGGCAGAATTAATACAGGATGTGCAGGTTTTTAATTATTTTTAATTATATAAAAAAATTTTAAAAAAAAAAACAGATTTTAGCACCGGTTTTTTAAATGAACCGGTGCCTAAAAAAATAACTTTCCGCACCGGTTTAGGGGAGAACCGGTGGCAAAAATATCTAAATGATGTTATATATGGCGCACTTTTGCCACCGGTTCACTTGAAAACCGGTGGGAAAAGTTCACTTTTGCCACCGGTTCTTTTGAAAACCGGTGACAAAAGTGTTCTTTCCCCACCGGTTTTCTAGTGAACCGATGGCAAAAGTGCCCCATATATAACATAATTTTGATGTTTTGCCACCGGTTCTCTCCTAAACGGGTGCGAAAAGTTATTTTTGCCACCGGTTTAAAACCGGTGGGAAATCATTGAGGATTTCGCACCCCCCAAATCAAGAACTGTTCAAAACCGGTGGGGAATGTATGGTTTGAACCGGTGGGGATTGAGGTTTTTCGCCTAGTGAAGTGCAGTAGCTACTGCAATTCGGCACAGACGTGCAAGGATGTGCACGAACGTGCCACTTTTTGGCACGAAAAGTGCCACGTTCGTGCAACATTTTCTGACAAAAACAACTTCATTTCGGAAGGCCATAACTTCTTCATTTCTCATCGAAAAAAAAGTCATGTGACCATTCGTTGGAAAGCACTTGAGATGAACTTTAATCTCCAATTTGAATCACTGCAAAATATTGAGTAGAAATAAAGTTATGGTCATTTAAAGTTGACCTTAGTGCAAAAATCCTTCCAAAACCCTTTTAATGCTCTTATCTTACTCTTAGACACTTTTCCTTGCTTCTTTAATTCTTCCTTCATTGATTCATTCTTCCATAGTTCCCTTATTTCCTCTTCTTGCCTCCAACTTCTTTGCTTCTTTATCCAAAAGGTTCAAAGTGCCATCTTTATACCTAAATATGCACCAAAAAACTAGCAACTCCGTGAAGCATAAGATACACAAAAAATGCATAAGAATAGCGTAATTATTAGCGAACTAAAACATTGATTTCTCACAGTTCTAAGGCTCAAAACCACTCTAAAATCATACAAAATTACAAGCTATAAAAACTATCTAAGAAAATGTAAAATGTTGTAAAATACTACCTATACCGAATTTCCACCGTTGACCGACCTCAAAACATAATCGAAACCACCGTTTTCATTCCCAAAACTAACACAACTTGCTTGAAATCGCCTCCACCACACCTAAACCACTTTTCAACCCCTAAACCACAACCTCTAACCCCAAAAACCACCATCTCGAGGCACTAATCTACCCTCACCAACTCGGAATATCCTACAACCACCCCGAAAATAACCTTACCACCTTGAAAACCAACCCTCACGATGGTTTCGAGGGTGTTTAAGGTGAATCAACGTCGTAAAATTAAGTCAACGGTGGAAATTCGGTCAAAGGTAGTATCTTACAACATTTTACCTTTTATTAGGTAGTTTCTTACGATATTTTTTTATTAGGTAGTTTCTCACAAAATTTAGGTTTTATTAGATAGTTTCTCACAAAAAGTCCTTATAAAAAAAAAAAAAAAAAACAAAAAAAAAAAAAAAAAAACCTTATTTGATAATTTCTATTATATTACGGAGTACATAATTGTAAGTATATATGATCAAAGGGTAGCAAGTTTGACCATTGAAAAGCAAATGTTTCTTATTTTCTTAATACATGCAAAACATATTAATTATTCCTAGTAAAAACTCATGTTTAGTCACGAGGACATAACTCGGTAATCATCCCAGTGCCTGTATACACATTAATAAGGGGATTACTTATGTTGTCCAACCTCTGATTATCTTCTTCTTCTAAGCCATTCGTTAAGCTAAAGAAATGTGGCGGCTTTGGCACCGGAAAGCTAATAGATTGTCCACTAAGGGTGGCAACAATTGAGTTCATGCTCGGTCTTTCTACTGCATATTCTTGGACACATACCAGACCAATTTGGATGCATTTCATTACTTCTTCTATTGGACAGTTATCTTTAAACGCTTCATCTATCAAATCGTAAGCCTTGTTCTCAATCCACAACCTCCATGCCTGTCAATCGAACAAGTTGAAATTGAAGTTATTACAAAAGCAGTAGAACAAATAAAGCTTTTAAGCAAGTAGTAATGATCTTCTAATTGTGGAGCTTACACGATGTAATAGTGCCTCTTCAAGCTGCAATCCTCGAAAGTATCTATTTCTTTCACCACTCAATATTTCAAGGACAATGACTCCAAAGCTGTAAATATCTGATTTTACAGAGTAATGACCGGTTATTGCGTATTCAGGAGCCATATAACCACTGCAGGTAGAACGAGGGCCTGATTAGAAACATTGTCTTCTATTTCAATAAATTGCAATACTTATTTAATGCATAAAAAATAGATGTTTTTATTAGACGATTAAATGTACTAATCAACAATATACAAAACAAAGGTAAATTTGAGTAAAAATAAATAGTACGGAGTACGGAATATAAACAATGATATATATATATATATATAGACTAAAGGTTTAAGGCAGGCTCAGAGATCTTACTATGTCCCGACGATTCGATTAGTATCACCATGACTTTGATTGACTTTGAATAGTTTTGCAAGGCCGAAATCTGATATCTTTGGGTTCATATGTTCATCCAATAATATATTACTTGCTTTAAGATCTCGATGAATAACTTTGAGTGGAGAATCTTCATGAAGATACAAAAGCCCTCTTGCAATACCAACTATGATTTTGAACCTTGTTTCCCAGGTTAATGATGTTTGCTTCTTTTTATCTGTAATACAACATGATTGCCGCTAGAAATTAGTCAAACAAATCACTTATAACAACAAAATTAGCAGTTCTTATTCCCTTCACTCTAGCCTCTTGCCTTTGGAACTAGATAATATTTCTTGCCTTTGAAAATTATATTTATCATTTAATCTACTCTGTAATGTTAGTTATTAATTACTTTGCACGCGATGCATGATTTAAATTCTAAAACCATATTATCAAGGGAGATGAGGATTGCCATCTTGTGGTCTCCATAAAATGATTTAAAGAGGATATCTTAGATTCTTAATACTCCATATACTACGTATAAGTTCGTTTTAGTTTGTATAACAAGTGTTCACAATATCAATTAAAATTTAACAAGTACTTAGTAAAGTTTATTTTAAAAGATAAACCTTAGAAAAAAAAAAAGAGTTAGAAATGTAAGAATGGTTAATTTTTAAAATATTATTATGTACGGAAAGATTCTTACTTTTCTTAGCATAATATTTTTCAGTGACAAACCATAGATTTTTTAGAAAATATCACTTTATTATCAAACACTTCATATTACACAGTGACTGTAATTAAGACCAATTGATATGTCATGACTTTTAAATTACCACAGTATATATTACCAAATAGAAATCGATCCAAACTTGAATTAGGAAGATACTCGTAAACTAGTATCTTTTCCTTTAATGCCACACAAAATCCTAATAGCTTGACCAAGTTCTTGTGTTGAAGTTTTGCAACTAAGATAACTTCGGTTTTGAACTCTGCTACTCCCTGTTCAGATTTTTCTGATAGTCTTTTTACAGCTATTTCTCGTCCATTCTCGAGTTTTCCCTGATCACAAACACCTCTAATTATTTACTCAAAAAATTGACTTCAAATCGACATTTATGGATTCAAGGAAAGCATTGACTAATCATGGAGGCGTGGAGCAAATTGATGCATATGTAACAAAGCAAGGAAATTATTTTAACATAATTGGAAATTAAGGAGATCATAAATCCCTAATAATTCATTGCTTAGTTTCTTCTTCACAAATCAAGCAGTAAAATAATACAAGTACCTTGTAGACTTCACCAAACCCGCCTTCTCCAAGTTTGTTATCCGCGGCAAAGTTACGTGTTGCTGCCCTGATCTTGCTGAATTCATATTGCAAGGATTCTACAGCTTGTTTTATCTCATATACCTCTACAGAAGAATAATATATATTAGACAAAATAAAGGAGTAAGAAAGCTATTAGATTCATTCAAATCAAGTATGTGCATAGAAGTTTGATGATTGCCTAACATAAAACTGATCTCTAAACTTAACTACATCCTATAGATCTGTAGAAAATGTCAAGCTAATTAAGAATGTGTTTACCATTAGTTGTTTCCGTGGCCTTCTTGTTGCGTATGCAAATCCAAGCTCTACAGCACACAAAAATTGATATTGTTGAAAATGTTGGTAGCAAAAGTAATAGCAGAATTAGCTTCTACTTGGAATTGCCTTCACGTTCAACTGTCAGTAAATTTCAAATCGATGATATTGTAGAGAAATATTTCAAATATAATTACATTATTCATTATTATATTAGTTAGAAGGATCTTATTAATAAAAAATAAAAAAAATAAAAAAAAATCCTACATAAACATTATTTTAAACGTTCAAAATCATCTTAGATCACTAAAATTACAAAATATGATATAGAGTAGTAGTTTGGAATTTAAGAGATTGCTCAAAATACTAAAAGCACATTCAAATGAAAATATTACTTCCTCCGTTCTTTTTTACTTGACCTGTTTCTTTTATCACGCTTGTCAATGCAAAACTTTAACGATCAATAACTTTAAATCTCCATAAGTAAAAATTATAAAAGTTATATATTATGATAGTACTTATTAAGACGAATTAAAAAAGATACCACATGAATATGCTTTTCATTACATATTATTCACAAAAGACGGTTAAAGGAGAGATCATGAATAGTGTAAAAGTCAAAGTGGGTCAAGTAAAAAAGAACGGAAAAAGTATTGAAATACTCGATCATATGGACTTTTATGTACGTATATTTCAAGGTCTTACCAGTACCAACATGCGTTGGTGGTACTTGGACTATGTCCTAGTAGAATTTTGTGGTTGTATCATATCCTAATTGACAGCTTGGATAGAAAATCATAACCCTCGTACTTGTCGTGAAATAATCAGCCATCAAACAATTTTGACGATGAATCCATGCAATTCTTACAATCAACCTCACCAATGTCAGGGATGCATTGAGCAAGGCAATACACGCTGTTGAACGATGCCCAATCACTCGCTGTTGCAAAATGTCCCACAAAAGAGGATGGAGCAGCCTGCTGCATAACTTTACTCATTGTACTTGCCACGGCAGAAAACTGTTTGTAATTTGTGTAATTCTGTGCCCCCCACACATAAGCATATGGGAATTCTTCGAATAAGGAGAAAATGGAACGATTTGCATACCTCAACATACATTGTTCGTACCACACTATCGCTTCCATACTTGAAGGGCACTCTTGTACAATTGATTGTGTTGCGTTTTGAATACACTCACTGCAAATTTCAAATCTCAAGTCCACTCGACATTGATAAAGGCCATATATCTTGTTAGAGTCATCACCTATAGTCAAGTTATAAAACTTTCTAGTAGAGGTTTGGGAGGAGAGATTCAGGAAAAGGAGATTTTTGTTGTGTTGGTATACTCTTCTGGTAGTCTTGTTAAGGTGATCAACAGTAGAGTTATCCGAATCACAATATGTATAGACATAATCTACCGCTGCATAACATTTAAGAAGTTGGCTAAGGATGACCAATAATAAGAAGGTAAAAAAGTATGAAAAATTTCCCATGAAAACAAAGGAATGAGGCAAAGTTTCTTTCATACTTACAAATAATAGACTTTGTAATTAGGAATATCCCTGAAACCTGATCTCTTGAATTCCTTACCATTCGTCACCAAATGCTTTACTAGCTATTTAATGATTCATTGAATTGTTCAGCAATATCTTCAAGTTAAATACTTCTTTTTTTATTTAATTAAACTTGATTTGTAAACGTACATCTTTGGCACGTATTGCTGCAACTGAAGCTGAATCATTCTTTAGCACCTTATCAGATTTGCAAAAATGGTTCAAAAGTTGGTGCTGATATTAACAGCAATTACAGCATAATAATTTATTGGTTTCGATAATTTTTCTAAGCTCAAATAATACTCCATGAATAATTCAGGATATATAGTGATTGTGAATAACGTATGTACTTTTATCCCTCCATTATTCTTTTTTATTCTACTCATTTTCTATTATATAGGAAAGTCAATTTTTTGCCGGCACATTATCTATTAAAAATTTATAGCTAAATCATTTTCACATAAAACAATTATTTGTTTTTTAAAAATAAAATATTCTCTCCATTTTACAATAGCCTTAACATTTGCTTTATACCGTTTTCAATACATGTTTTAACTATTAACTAATTTTTTGGCCTGTTCAATGCACGGACTATAACCTATACGTTATTTTTCTTGAGGCGTATTGCTTAGCTTGTTAGTGTTGTACATAGGTATTCACGTGATAATAAAATTGTCACTATAGAAGATAATTATTAAAAAAAAATTATTTATATATTAAGAAAAAGTTAAATCAATGATGAATGTAATACAATACTTCGTATATTGTGCACTAAATAATTACCTCAAATTTTTTCTAATGAGAAAAATTACTTACATTATGCAAGTTGTGTAACGTTTAAAGTCTTTAACGTTATATAATCTATATTTAATTAGTAGGTTTGTGAATGAAATAATGTTGATTAATTACATGTAATAATTAATTTTAAAAATACTGATTTTAATATAAATGTTTTATAAAAAATAGAAAGAAAAAAAAAGTTAAATAGTAAATGTGACATGTGGTGCTTTTGATTTATGTTATTATGTACTAAGTATAAATAGATATAGATACCTTTAATTATATACTCCATAGTTCCTAATACAACACAGTATAAAGGCAATGAAAGTTTAAACTTACGTACACGTGTATACAAATTGAGTAGTAACACAAATACCAATAACTCACACTGCCATACTTTTGTTGAATTAGAATTTATGGAATGTTCAGTAGAAGAAATGTTGATCATAAACACAACTCAGGATATCATACAACAGATAGTGAGAAAGCCAAATGAAATTTGCAAATTGCATCACATGTACTACAGCAGTCATCAAGTGATGATACCTTTTGTGTCTTCAAACTAAAGTATTCAAATGGTGCAACCCTCGTGTCTATCTCGGGTATAAATCCCGCTCGACTTCTGTATTCCAGGTTACAGACTTGGAGATGGATTGATCAGCCGCAGTTGAATCTGTTTGCTGTCTATCATTAAACTGATGGGGAGGTGTTGAGGGTAATGGTAGGATGACTGAACCATTAAGCATTAAAACTACTGCTGCCATTGTAGGTCGTTGTACTGCGCTTCCTTGAACACATAGCAATCCAATTTGGATGCACTTCAATACTTGATTACTTGTATAATTGTCATGCAATAATGTTGAATCTAATAGTTCCAAAGATCGCCCTGCATTCCACAGTATCCATGCCTTCGAAAGAAAGAGTAGAAAAACACATGTTATCCATATTATATAGTATGATAAATAATTAAGGATTAGAAATTAAGAGTTTCATGCAGAGTGAGCTAGACATACAAGAATTGAAATATCTTCCTTGTGTGAAGACTGGTAATGTATTCTGTTCTTCAGACCGCTGATGAGCTCTAGAATTATGATGCCGAAACTATAGACATCAGATTTATCAGAATACTCCCCTGTTAACATGTATTCTGGGGCCATGTATCCACTGCATGCACCACGACAGTATAAGATGTTTACGTAGGATTTGACATTTTATTTCTAAGCATATAAGATAATTTAGAAATAAATTTCATGGCAAATACAAAGTTGAGCAATTATCAACCAATTTCTTTTAACTTCAACAAAGATTTTAGCAAGTTTTGAAGCAAGAGGGCAATAAAAGCATACTGTGTTCCGACAATTTGGCTGGTATTTCCAAACTTTTGTTCCCTTCCAAAAAGCTTTGCCATGCCAAAATCACCTATTTTGGGATTCATGTCCTTATCTAATAAAATGTTGCTGGGTTTGAGATCACGATGTATAATTGTAAGGCGGGAGTCTTCATGAAGATACTGAAGTCCTCTTGCTATCCCCATTATGATTTTGTACCGTGTTTCCCAATCTAGTGTTCCTCGCTTTCTTGGATCTATAACATGAATACACGCACAAACACACAATGCAAATAAGTCATTTGGAGCATCTACGTCATGATTATCATTTTCACTAGACTCATGGCTACAAATCTAAGCAAGTGAAGAGTAATCATATTTCTTTTCAAATTATTTAGTGAACAATGAGATGTTTTAATACTTCATGTAGCTTAATTAAGAAACTCCACGTCACTATCTAGCTTCTTTCATTTTGTGATATGTAAATCTTGCCCAAATGTTGTACTTTGTGATTTTTGTTAATCAAATAGTTTTCAATCATCTATATACAGTATGTAGTGCTCTGTCAAACAAACAAATACAAAAGAATTGACTTGTTAAAACAAAATTATATTTCGTTATTGACCATATCATGTACTTCGTATATTTCCTCTGAAATTTTCTATTACAGCTTACCATCAACTGTAACGTGGGAAGTTCAAAATTGAACTTATGTTTAAAAATTGACTATTTGTTAAAAAAAGAAATTGAAATATGGGCTACACGATTTGAGAATTAGAAGAGCAATTAATCGAACAATATTTATGTTTAATGGTTAATTTACATACTCCATATTACAAAGTACAGAGTAGTATTTTATTCTTCTTCAAAAACTTAATAAAATATGTCAGCTTAACCACTTCCTTTAACAACTATTCATAAATAAATAAAACAAAAAAACTACTTCCTTTAACAGAGATATACGAAGTATATATGCTGTAGATTTTTATCCATTGCTTTTTTAAAAGAGAAAAGTCAAAACAATAAGGAGTTCAAAGAGAATACCAAATAAGAACCGATCAACACTTGAATTAGGCAAGAACTCGTAAACAAGTAGTTTTTCATCTCCTTGAGAGCAGAAGCCCAACAGCTTGACAAGATTCCTGTGCTGAAGCTTGGCCACAAGACGAGCCTCAGTCATGAACTCCTTAGCACCTTGTCCCGAGTTGCCAGAGAGCCTCTTTATAGCTATAACTTGTCTATTATTCAGGGTTCCCTATCAATATCCACAAAGAATACTACTCGTAATTACTAAAGATAATATATAGGAGGAGTACAATTTAGAGAACTGGTATACAAAGGATGTGTTACCATGAAAACAGCACCAAAGCCGCCTTCTCCAAGCTTGTTATCACTTGAGAAGTTTCTTGTTGCATCCTTCAAAGTAGCAAAATCATATTGTACAAATTCCGTGTCACCCAGACTATTACCCTCTTCGCCTCTAACTGTATTGGGAATAAAAATAAAAATAAAAAATAAAGTGAAAATAAAATATTTTGAAGGGTCTTGACAGTGCATCGATTCATCCAGAGTTTTGTGTTAGCCGCTAGGATAATTATCTAAATCTGAGTTGGGACTAGTCCATGTGTCACGGTTCGAGAGTTCTGACATCGGATCGTGCAGCGCGCTCTTGTCTTTTGACGACAAGGATGCAAGCCTAGAGCGGAAAGGGTTCGTGAGCACACGGCAACACGGACCAAAGGTATCTCAAGGAAGCACTCGTCAACAACGAGTGCGGAGTCGGGGCTTATGACAGCCGATATTTCGAAGCGGGCACAAGCGGGGCCGACGACAATGAAGGCGTCTTTTGAGGTTTTCTTGGTTTGGAGGGATGCTTTAAAACAAGGCAAGCACAATACCTATAAAGGCTTAAATCAACACACAAGTCTTAAAGCAATATGCAACGGGGTAGGGAGCTTTGATTCATTCCACCATTCGCTCCCTAAAGAGCTTTACATTGATTACATAGAGAATTACTAGTGAACACTAAAACTGCAATAATACAATAATTCTCCCTAGAGCCTAGAAAGCATAAAGAAAAACTTAGAAGACAAAACATAAGGAAAAGGGAAAGGGGATACATAGAGAAAGAGGCAGATTCTAACACCATGTCACCCAGACTATCACCTTCATCAAGTATTGGTTTTAGGATAAATGCTACTCATGTAACATGTTAGATTAGTCATAACGTCTACTTTAATAATTTACTTTTTATAATTTGATTATCGACATTAAAACCCTGTTCACTTCACCTTAAAATAATAATATTCAGTAAAACTAATTTCAATTCAATAAAAATAAGTTCATTTCAGTAAATATAATTTCTGTTTAATAAAAATAAATTCAGTTTAGTAAAAATAATTTCATTTCAGAAATTTAAAAAAGAAATATAATAGAAAACCATTAAAAATAATTTCAGTTCAACAAAAATAATTTCACTTCAGTAAAATTAATTTCAGTTCGGTAAAAATAATTTAAATTCAGCGAAAATAATTTCAGTTCAATAAAAATAATTTCATTTCAGTAAAAATAATTTCAGTTCAGCAAAAATAATGTGAAGTGAAAGGGGCCTAAAAGTCAAAGATGTGTCTGGGTAAATGTGCAAACTTAAGTAATGCATTAAATATTCTTTAAAAAAAATAAGTAATGCATTAAAATAAAAAATTGTACTCTGTATAAATATAAATGGGAAGTAAAATAGATGAAAATCAACTAGCAATTTTTGTGTATTTTAGATATTAAATTTCAGCTAATTAAAAAAAAAGTTCAACGGAGAGTTTATTTCAAAAAAAAAATATTATGATGAGTCTTGCCCTAAAAGTCAAATAGAGCATATTGGATGAGATTTAAGGGAGAATATGTTAAATGGGTTACCATTATCTGGTTGTTGAGGTGGTGAAGCTTGTGTAAGAGTTGGCTTAGATGCTTTGCTTCTCATACTTGGCTGCACACACAACCATACTCCAACAAGCAGCAGCAAAATTCCAACGGATGCCCCAACAGCTATTGCAACAATTATTGGCCGCTTCAATCCAGTGGTTGCTCCAGGAGGTTTGTTGGAGGTTTCTCCTTTTACCAAAAATTAGAAAATAGAAAAATAATCGTAAGAACATAATAACAATGTCAACTACATTAAAAACTCCATTAAAAGCAAAATAGATCAAGGATTAACCTGCAGTCACGTTTGATGGCGGAGGAGCTGGTAATTCATGGTTTATGTCAAAATAAAATTTTTCCAAGGTATCATATCTCAAGTGGCAGCTTGGCTTGAAGATCAGTACCCTCGCACTTGCATTGCAGCAGCCTGACATGTCGCTTAAAGCATTTGTCAAGCAGCTGTTACACCCAAACTCGTCAATATCTGGGGTGCATTGAACGAGGCAGTAAACTCGTTCAAAAGTTGTCCATTTGGCATCTCCGGTAGCAAAATGTCCAGATGATGTACCGATAACGGCTTGTCTTATTAAACTGTTAAATTCTCTTGCAAGCACTGGAGCAAATGCACCATAGTTTGAAACATTGAATTTAAGGCTCCACAGGAAAGCCGCAGGATATGTTTCATATGAGGAAAAAATAGACCGGTTTGCATACCGTAACGTACATTCATAATACCAAACCGTTGCCTCTCCCATCAAAGGGCAAACTTCCACTATCTTTTGGGTTGCTGCTTGGATGCATTCACTGCATGTATTGAAGCTAACATCCTCTCGACATTGATACAAGCCGTAAACTTTGTTGGGGATATTGCCAACAGTGGAATTATAGAACTTCTGAGAGGAGGTATGAGATGAGAGATCGGTGAAAAGACGATTGAGATTCTGTTGGTAGAAGCTGCCATCAGTATAATTACCTTTTGCAGGTGAACAGCCAGTAATATTAACGTAGGTTACCTCCGCGTCACCTCCATAGAGTAGGCCAAAGCAAATCAATATTAGTAAGGTGAAAGTAAACATAAACCTTCCCATGAAGACGAGGAAAAGGGGCTAGACAGCCTAAAATCTACAGTAGGAAAGAGATCAATAACATGCAGGCTAGCTTGCAAAGACCAAATAATTAGTACTTTATTCCTTTTACTAATATTATACGTATTTTAACATATCTGGCCTGCAAGATAGTCCCAATGGTTAATTTAGAACAGTTCAATATTAGCTTCAAGTTGGATATAAGTATATTTGTAATAATACTATTAATTTACAAAATAGAGTATTCAAAATGTTAACATCAACTTGGCTAAAATTTTATAATGTATAAGAAAGCCTAATAAACACCCACTAATTATCTAATCTTCCAAAGAATAATCTAAGCTGAGCGAACAATGATATGATGGTTATCACATTAAGCCACAACTACAGAAGATCATGCAGTTTCATGTTTAGTTTAAAATCTTAAATTAAGTAATATTATTGGAGAAACACTACCTCCATGATTACCCATGTCTACATATAACTGCACATTTTCAATATAATAACAATAGATAATTTAACAAATTTTTATCTATGATTATGTGTTATGATTAGTGTCAAAACTAGTTTGATGCATACGAATGAAGTATTGGTTGCAGATGATACACCTAGCACCAAGATTACTAGGCATACAAGAGAGAGATGAGGGATGGGGATAAGAAAGGTGATACAGGTATAAAGGAATAAAATTCCCATTATCCCACTAAATAATAAGGTTGCATTCTATTCATTTGAACTTATTTTAACTTGAGCGAACTTATATACCGTTGAAAGCTTATTTTGGTTGTAACTTGAACTTAAGTAAGCCTCATCTTTATCAAAAATCTAAAATAAGTAAAGCTAAGGTCAACAAAACTAGGCATACAAGAGAGAGATAAGGATATGGGAGCAAAATACTGCTTGAGAGAGAGAGTTAGCAAGATTATTAATTAATTGGCTATAATAAAGATGATGATTGACATCATTCAAGAGCATAACCTGCTGATCAAAACATTACCACCAAGTCCACCAGTCTAGTATTTTGTTTTCTGCTGCAATTTGGAGCCCTTTAATATCTTAGGACTATTATAATCATCCAAAGTCATGCTTTCCAAAATACTAATCAGAAAATGAAATAATACGGCGTACTTATCTGATTTTAAATGGTCTTGAAATCATTTGTGATCTTGTGATCTGAGCTGTCGCTTAGACTCTCTACCTATACATGTGCAAAACCAAGTATTCAGTTCATACGAACCTGACCACATAATAGAACAAATTTTTAGAAGAAAAGTTTAGAAAGTCAATACGAAGTAGTTTACTTCATAATATAAAGTTCATGAACATGCTAATACAAGTATATAATAAACCAGTTGACATTAGTAAATTTATATAATCACAATCAACTCTAAAGTTTGACTCCATGTCTTAAGGAGAGGATGGGCTATAGATTATCAATTTCGAAACTGTGCCTTTGCCTTGTTAATCATCTATGCATTCCATTTCAAATGGAGCACCTAACATGCTTTGAATTGTATATAAAATGTCAACTGGACTTAACTATTACAAACCAAGGTTAAATAACTTTTCTATTAATACATGGAAGAGACATATACTTGAAGGCTACATCTATCAAATCTTGAAGAATCTCTCACAAAGGTTACTCTAGTTATGAAGCTTCTTTTCTTTACAACCCTAAAAACCAAACTCCTAAGCTTCTTACTTGCCATTTTCATAACTGGACCCGTAGCTTCCTCTCAATTTCAGTTTGCCTACTGGCATTGCCTAGATGTTGGGAACTACACAATCAATGGCGCATACCAATACAATGTCATTAACCTCCTTCATAACCTAACAAACCAAGCTTTTCTTTCAGGCTTTGGTAGCTCTTCCGTTGGTGAAGGACAAGAAAAAGTATACACAATTTACAATTGCAGAGGTGACCTTGATTCACAACAATGCCATGATTGTGTGAAGGAAGCAGCACAGGAGATCCTAGAGAGATGCCCTTCTGAGAAAGAATCCATTGTTTGGTTCGAAGAGTGCATGGTTCGGTATGCAAATCGCTCATTAATCTCCCTCAAAGAAGAGAGTCCTTATTCTTGGGGTTATTTAGCAACAGTAAATGATGACCCTAGTCCACAATTATATTCTATAGTTGCAGAGAAAATTGAAGGTTTGATAGAGCAAGCAGCCTACAACAGAGCTACAAGAGGTTTCGCTTTAGACATAGCCAATATTGCACTCCTTGACAACCTATATATACTGGTGCAATGCACTGCAGATATTTTAGGAATGCCATGTGAAAGATGCTTAAGAGCAGCATTCAAATCTATGGCTGAATACGCCGAGATGGGAAAAAGTATACCTTTGATGATGTTGTATCCAAGTTGCCACATTCGCTATGATCGTGAACCCATTCTGCTAAATGGGGCTGACTATTCCCCAAGTTATCCACCATTGCCAGTTGCAGCTTCTCCATCAATTTATATAATGCCACCAACCACAGGTAGTATGCTACTGAAATAATGTTTCTTCTTCAATTTCTTTTAATTACAATACGCTTGTTTGCTGAAATTACTATTCTTGATGTGCACAAGCCAACTGATTAAAGTTTTATTTAATTATGCAATAATCCAGGAGCGTGGAGTCTCCTTGTTCTGGCATTTCAAAATGTAACTGCGGACTTTTATTCTATTCTATAGTGGGTAATGACTTTGGGTGCTTTAGTAGATTTTAGAGAAGGGTATACATGTTGGATAATCGTTTCCTTATAGTAGATTTATCAACGTTCATCGGGGTTCATCAATTCACTTTCTAATACCACTTAATACAATCAAAACTGATGTAACTAATATCTATAAGAGAATTCATATTGAAATAGAATAAATAGAACAAACTCAAACTGAAAATCATCTCGACAAACATATATTCAGTAGCGGACTGTAGACAGTTCTTGAAGCTGTTGTATGCAGGTCAAACTCTGCATAAATTGCAAGCAGTAAATACATAGAGTTGATACCAAGAGTTGAATTATGCATTTATATGCAGGGAACAAACTAATGATTATGAAGTCACATTTGAACCTTTTGCCTAAAAAACATCATATAAGTTGGAAAAGAATAGGAAGACACTGATATATTATGAAATCAGGGGAAAACAGAGGAAATCTTAGGGATTATATTTCCATTTGAAAGGAATCATTTCAAACTCAAGACACAGTTCAGAAGAAAACATGTACACCAGAAAGGTTTGGAACAATAAATAGATGCATGAACTCAATCAATCTCTATACGACAAAATTATAGACAATGGAGATACGAATTCCACAAAAAATACTAGAGAGATTCTTTAGCAATTGGGAGCATCCACAGCAACCATTAAACCACACACATTATCGCGACTCCACATAAATTTCTAAGTCCTTGAAGTAAGAGTCACAGTTCATCATATAGAAGTACTACTACATAGGAAAACTCACGAAAGTTTCATTCCTGACATTTCAAAATTCTAAGTTCTTCTCCATGAACAAGCCAGTGGCCACTAATATATACTTCATATACATATTTGAGGTATTTTAAAAATAAATCTCTTCAACCTCCGTATCAAACACAATACTTTAGAAGCACAGTTGTTTAATCTTTCAGCATAATACACTTCTTTTATCAATTCCCTTTGATTTTCTAACCTTCAATTAGATAATTCAACTTCTTATATTAGCTAAAAGTCTAAAACCCTTCTTTCAGTAACATCAATAATTTCACAACCACAATCAAACGTAGTCACATAATTAGAGAAAACATAATTATTCAACCAAACGGAAGATCAATTTTCCAATAATTTCAAATGACGACAAAATAAGAAAATTGAAATTACATTGCAATTAATGTTCAATAATTATTTTCCAAAAACCCCGCAAATATTATCAATGAACAAAAAAAATCATAGGACGGCATTTATATGCAGGAAATAAACAAATGATCATGAAGTCATTTCTGAACGTTTAGCCTAAAAAATATCATATAAGTTAGAAAAGAATAGGACGACATATATTATGAAACCAGGGGAAAACAGAGGAAATCATAGGGATTATATTTCCATTTGAAAAAAAGTCATTTCAAACTGACACAATTCAGAAGAAGACATGTACACCAGAAAGGTTTGGAGCAATAAATAGATGTATGAACTCAATCAATCTCTAGACGACAAAATTATGGACAAAGGAGATAGGAATCCCACAAGAAACACTAGAGAGATCCTTCAATATTCGGGAATACTAACAGAGTAACAGCCACAACAATCGCAAAACCAAGCACAATTCAACTGATGCTGCGACTCCACATAAATTTCTAAGTCCATTAAGCAAGAGTCACAGATCATCATATAGAACTAATAGAAGTTTAACTTCATAGGAAAACTCACGAAAGTTTCATCCTTGACATGTCAAAAGCCTTACAGAATTCAAAGTGATTCTCCATGAACAAGCCAGTGGCCACTAATATACATTATGAATTTTGTAGTGAACTTGTCGCAGCTCATCTTAACACCAAGATCATATCAGCAAACATACAATGGTAGCATTGCGGAATTCCACCTCATTCGCCTCAATTACAAGTTTTCAGCCAAATTTGCCTTAAAGGTATTTTTAAAATAAATATCTTCAACCTCAGTATCAAACACGAGACTGCCTTGAAAATTCTCTTCCTTTTAAAAGCACAATTATTTGATCTTTCAGCATAATTCACCTCTTTAATCAATCTCCTTTGATTTTCTAACCTTCAATTAGATTATTCAAAATCTTGTAAGCTAAAACCCTTCTTTCAGAAACACCAATAATTTCACAATCACGATCAAGCATAATCACATAACTTGAGCAAACATAATAATTCAACCAAACGGAAGATCAATTTTGTAATAATTTCAAATGACAACAAAATAAGGAAATTGAAATTACATTGCAATTAATGTTCAGTAATTTTTTTCCAAAAACCCCGCAAATATTATCAATGAACAAAAAAATCTAAAGAACTAACACGATTAATTGCCTGAGAATCACACTAATTGGAAAAACACAAGAATTTCAACCACAATTATGAATAAAAGAGTGTATCAAACTTTACCCAAATGAAAATGTGAGAAAATTAAGTACTCACCTTTCGCCGGAATTAGTCCGCCGATCACCGGCGCTACTGTTTGACCAGAAAACATAATTTCGCCAGAATGTCGGTGGAGTGTTTTGTATGGACAATTCAACAGAGATCAAATACTATACTGACTAGGAGAGTAGGAGCATCTAGTTTTTTTAGCTGATTCGTTAGATGAAATGACAAGGTTAACCTTCATTTATAAGGTTTTTTTTTTATTTTATTTTTTTACAAAGAGATCAATTAATTAATTAAAAGACAAGATTATAACCTAGACTAAGTAAAAGGAAATAAAAGGCAACACACACTTAAAACTAGCTCCTACAAACCAAATTGAAACAAAACAATAAAAGTTGGTAAATTGCAGCTTTTGCACTTGATGGAGCCCTGTTGTTGGATGAAATCCACAAACAATGGCAGCCAAACCTATCAAAACTAACTTTACTTATCCTATGCCTTGACATCAACCCATAACACTTGTTGGTTGCACAATTGTAGGAGATAGTGTAGAAGTTGGGTCGAATACTTGAAGATGAACCGGTATACACCAATAGAGCTTGACAAAACATGAGAGTAGTAAAAAGAACGAAAATCCATGGCCTGATTGAGAGACACTTACGAGCAAGACTTGATGCTCACAATATGAGCAATCCCAATGACCCAAATTAAGAATAGTCAAGTGGGATTCTTGGCTCATTACCACAACTCGAGTCACATTTCCTTGTGACTTGGTACCCATTTGAAAGGGTACAATTGGTCTATCCTCCTCGAATGGGGTAAGACACAATTTCATTAGAGCGCTATGAACCTCCAAACATTGTGGTAGGGGAGCCTTTTTAGATAGAAATTTTTAAAAACAATGACTTCGAAGATCATTGCTAACTGGCATAGGGAATTACCTTTCCTTATTAATTCCCTCACGACCCTCCTATACTCAATCATATCAAAGACCAAAAAACACAGTACTTCGTCCTTCCACAATCAAATACCAGACCACTACCTATAGTCACCCTGCTTTCAAAACCCTCTAACTCTACAAAGTGAAATAGGATAAAAAAAAATCCCATAAAACTAGCCCTATCGAGGATAACACAGCCTAACCTCGAAACCACATAAAGAAAAATAGCCTGTATTAATAAAATAAAAAAAATAAAAAAAAATTCCCAAAACAACTAGTACATATTAATAAAAAAAAAATTAGATCTCATAGTAAAATTGAATGTTGAAAAGGGTACCTAGGGAAGAAAAATTATATTATTATTGTTAGAGTAAAAAAAAATGCTTTTCAGAAAATAATATAGCTGGAGAATTTTAATAAAAAAATATAAAAATCATAAAATGATGACATCATTTATAGTTTTGGAGGGAAAATTTTTAATAACTACATGACATGTGTCTAATTTTAGGATAGGATGATGTCAGCGGTTGCTACTTTAGTATTAGTTATAAATAAAAAAAATCTCAATAAGCAAAAGTGAGAATAAGTGGGGATGAGAGAGAACATGAAAAATATTAAAATATGATGTGAGAGGACCACTAATGCGGATAATAATAGTAAAATATTGTTATAAATTTCCAAAAAAAGAAATGGAACAAGTAATAAAATAAAGCGCGAACACACCCCTTTATATCTTGCACCGAAAGACAAGTCCATTGTGGGATTTGACAATTCTTCATATAAATTTCTCGTTTTATTATTATAAATGAACATATGATCAGTTGTAAAGCTATCAAAACAAGGGAAAAGTACTAGCTCATAGACCCTATATATTTTGCAACTAATAGAAAGGCAAAGTTGTAAATAAAAGTTAAACAGTTGATTAAAATTATAAAAAAAAATATCTTTATAAATATACTACTCTTCGTATCAATAAACGAGTTTACGAGTCAATACAACTAAACTGGGTTTAGATGTTTACATCATCGTCAAATTCATCACATTCGTGACCCTTATACAACCAATTATTGTATTAGAACTTTAATTCCTAGTTCGTAGAGGCGAGTGTATCATGGGCATAGTACATCCATTTCCAAAAAAAAAAAAAAAAAAAAAAAAAAAAAAAAAAAAGGAACATGTTGTAGAAATATAAAGAACATATAGCTATAATGAAAAGGACATATGGTTAAAATTAAATAGACATATACCTAGAGTGAACAAAACATATTAAATAATGTTTTTTTATCATAAAACATGATGTACTTTATTTTTGTTTGTAATGTACAATTAGCTATTAACATTATGTTTCTTTTATATGTCCATTATATCAGATAATAATCTTTATTAGATCTTTTAATAAACTAATGCAAATGTCTAAATTCTTTGATTTTTTTTTTTTTGAGTTCCACCCGATTCACCCTTTGGGTAATTCGGATTAGGGGCTCAAT